CGCGCAGAACTTCCATCCCACCCTCCCGTAATCCGTAGCTTGGCAGTAGGCACGGGTGGGCTGCCTGCGTCCCCTCCCGGGTTGTGGCTGCGGCATGCACCAAAAGAAAAAAAGAGCAGAAAAGCGGGTCCGGCCCCCCGAACCCGGCCACAGCGGACGCCGGAATCGTACGATATTCCACGGCCATCAGGCGAGACGGGCTTTTCGACCTTGGGTTTCTTGGGGGGGTTTTTTTTCTTGTTCTTTTCGTCACGAAGAACTTGAGGGGGACGATTTTTCTCTGTTGCTCTTTTTCTGCTCTAGCGCCCGTTGGAACCCGCTGGCTGTCTACTGGTTGCTTAACTGAGCAGTGATAACACCACTGTAAAACGAAGCTACTACCTGGCGCTGAGATCCCCCGTAATGCCATGCGATGCGGCCACTACTCGCACAGCCACCGTAACCGCCCGCCCCCCCCTCTCTCTCTACCTGACCACGGTCGTCCATCCAGCTAACTAGTTGGTTAGATATTCCTTCGTATGTACGCTAACACGGATGACGGGCCAAGTGTGGCTACCCCGAAAAGTGTTCGCCTAACCTAACAACAACGGCCCTCAAATCCCCGGCAGTTCCTCAAACACACGCTGTGACGTCGGCGACACACGCCAGGGCTGTGCCCAGTCACCTGGCCGTTCCAGGTTTGCCAGTCGCCCTGGTCCTGGAAGGAAGGCTGGAAGGGAATATCCGGAGACGTGGCTCAATCATCACCCCCCGCCAGCCAATGGCCATGGCACCGCCTCGCGACCATACCTGTCGCATGAATTATAATACTGATACCTTGGATCCGGACAATGACGACTGGCAGGACTTACCTAGGTACCTACATAGTTCCAAACCTAGTTAGGTATCAAGTACCGAGGTATCCTCACCATACATACCTTATCCATGCCGAATATCCCAATATCCACTCCAAACTTCACCCGCCTACTAAGGCAGGAACCATTGGCCATCAAACTTTATCTCAACTTTGAATTGCATAAATCACTATGTATGTACTACTTGACCGATGACCCTGTCTGTTCCTCCACAATCGCCCCAATATCTCAGATTTCTCTTCTTTCCCTCCCTTCAACATCCTCCCCCATCACACCCTCTTTTCTGTGTCTTTTCTGTCGGGTTCCCGCTCATCCTCACGTCCTCAGTGGATCTGTCCCAGTAATCTGCAGCAGTGCTTCTGAATCCGCCTTTCTTTGCCTTGCTTGCCAACTTGCCTGTCTATATCTGCCTCTCTTATCCATCCGGGTCCGGCCGGATCCAACTTTACCTGTCATTCAACCGCGTTATCCACGACTTCCCGTCCCTAGCTGCGTCTCTGCAAAATTCGAGGCTCGTCTTCCATCAGTATGTCCAACGAATTTATGCCCTTTTCTTTTCATCCCTTGCTTCACGACCCGCTCGCCGATCTTCCTCGTTGCGATATCAATAACATCGGCGATCCCACCACTTCAGTCATGTTTCCTCAGTCAACCTTCACACTCATTTATTCATCTTTTCTTATTTTCCCCATCTTTGTTTCCGTCCTTTTTTTCCCATCTAGGGCTTTAAACCCCAGCCCCACGGCATAATTGCGTTCCAGAGCTTGAACCAAGCGACAGTATTCGGGGGCTCTCCAGTTTTAATCTTCCTCTATTATTACTATCACATGCATTTATACGTCAATATCTCAGAGACCAGCATTGAAAATCACCCCGCGAACTCTGTATAATTAATTCTTCACAATTGTATCACTACTGACAGCGTCTAGAGGTCAGACAATCTGCGCGCTTCCCCGATCCTTTTAAATCATCGCTTCGATCCTAATTAATGCGCCTCGCATTATGCCTCCCACCCTCTTAATCTTATTACTGGAGTATAGCACCCGTTTCACAATAGTGGGACGTTTTGTTTTGATTCAACTACAGATTACAGTGATAGTTCCTATTTTCCAGCTGAACAGCCAGCATTTGACCACATCACCAAACAACCATGCATTTCTCCTCAAAAGTACTGGTACCACTAAGCACCATACATGTATCTCCAATGCAAATCGTACTCGTATCGAATGGCGCTGGTGTTCCACCGGCCCGCCCAGACCAACCACTGCATGACCGCACGACGACGTGGGAGCCTCCCATTGCCTGGAGACCCTGCTCTTCTTTGCCCCAGCCTGTCTCTGGTCTTTGCGTAGCTTAACCAATCAATTAGTTGCCGTAGCTCACATAAATGACCCGAGAGGATGAGTTCGTCCCCATGCTCTAGTTACACGTAGTAGCAAAGGATTGCCACTTACATGCAGTGCGCTGTCATGGGTGTGTTGTCCAAATTTTGGGGGCAATCGAGTAATATCATATGTCCAGGATTATCAAAAGCTTAACATTCACTGTAGATCGAGGTGTCTTTGATATGTCGGAGACACATCTGTCTGTCTTATTGCATATGAAGGTTGTGAGTGCGGTGCGCAAGTGACAGGCTTTGTTGTGTCGCAGTGCACCATGAATCTGGTATAATAGCACAAAGAAAAACACATCTTCATCAACATATCTATACTCAATTATCAGCATGGTAGCGCCGTGCCGGCATCGAGGTGCGATGAGACGGCGCCGGACAGAATATCTTGTACGAACCCCTCAGTAAAAGTTTAGTCACTACAATTTTCAAAGGGAATATTTCCATTCTCCACATACCTGGCAAGATTATCTACTGTTTTCAGGCCATCGTTTGCTTTCTGGTCCACTGTCCTTCTCAAGACGGCGCGTTTCAGCTCGCAGATGAGCTGCACACGCGGACCGCACACCGATGCTTGTCCCACTCTGATCTGTCCCGCGTCTTTGACCCAGGCAAACTGGTTTCAGGACGTCGCTTTATAACTAGTGATTGGGGGACTCTTACTCGACAGAGGACGGCGAGAAGACTCGCGCAACGTAGAAGCGACCGGTGACAGTCTTCCGGGCCCGAACTTGCAGGGTTCAAGGCGAAGGAGCACGCGGTCACGGTTGTATACACAAGAGCAGCTCAGTATAAGCTCCTCGTACTCGTAAAAAGGTCGAGTCAAGGTACATGAAATGCTGGGCCACGCGTTGGATGGCGAAGACTGTTCTGCGTTCCTGTAAGAGGGCTATGGTGCAACCGTAGCTTTTATCTACCCTTGATATCTAACCTGTTCGTTTTAAAAGGGTGCATAATCTGGCCCGGGATCTGCTTTAATAGTAGGATAATAGTAACCAAATCGTGATGTGATGCGTGTCTCAGCACATGTCTCTACGGACTCAGTGGGTGGCAGGGAGATCTAGCGAGTTTATTGCAGATGCGCTAGATTGTTGCCTGAAGATGATCAGCATTTTCTCTAAACTCTTTTGAACTCCTAATATAAGCACACACATTCCGTCAACACCGCGGCCATACGACGGAGCGCTTCGCCCGGCCCCCAGCTCGCCAGCCTTCTAGTTCCTGAATCCTTCCATTTGCTCTCCACAAACGCGTCCAGGATCAGTCTGTCTTTTTTGCTCGGCATGGCGATAATTGTCTTTCAGTACGGCTTATTCACAGACTCTTAGTGTCGCTCCTAAATAAGCGCCCGTCTAGGCATCTCCAGTAGCTGGCGTCAAACGCGCAGCTTTTTCTGGCAGCGTGGTTGAGCCAGAACGCCCCAGCGTCCAGCTCTCGCGCATGTAAAAGTACAACTTGAACGGTACTGCGTTTGATCTTCTCTGAATTGGCCCCTTGAATGGCCGAAAGTGACATTTCTAGTCGACATTCGTAGTGATTTGCCCAGTCTTCCAAGCTAGCCGTCCACATCTCGGGTGCCTAGCAGCAACCTCCACGAAGAGTCCATGATAAACTGCGTTGGTGCTACATATGAATTCCCAGCTTATGGCTGCGACAATATCCTTTTTCCAGTCGACGAGGAAGCTATCAGGGCGTAGGTCGCCGCATCGAAGCCCAAACTGGCTCGTCATGTCTGGTGCCACGTACCGAGGCCGCCATCTTCTTTGCCTGGGCGACCAAGTATCCTCCACGCACCCAAATCTCGACAATTTGCCTTTCTTGGTCAGCCTGCGAGGTCCTGCGTTGAAGCAGCAGTCGAGTTGTCGCCTCCACCAGTGTCTTTTCCTTAGAAAAAAGGCAGAAGCCGTCCGGACAAGGCACACAAACGACGACATCGCTTCCTAACTCGATAACACGGACCCTGAGTAACATACATAACCGCCAAGCCGAGGAAGACTCCATTGATCTTGCAGCTTTCCCGAAATGCTTCCAACCGCAGACACAGCGTCTTTGTAGAATGAGCGGCGCTGTGAGCTGAGCTTTTGCCTTCTCCACTGCAGCACCATTCAAGTCCCAGACGAGCTCGTCAGCGTTTGCACGTTCTTGACCCATTTTCTCGGTATTACAAGGGAGAATGTAAGATCAACCAAGTCAACAAGGTGCAGCCAACGAGTATGTGTGTATGTGCAGGATGGTGCGACCGGGAGAAAGGTAAGACGCACGAAGGCACTGACAGCTGTCAGGTTCCGGCCTTGTCTGTTATTAACCTCAGTGTTGATAAGGCCTGTGCCTGGGGCCGAGTTACGTGGTTACGCATAACATAATCGTTGCTGTTCCTCAAGGCAGAGGTGCACAAGGGGTGTGCAACGGCGGGTCGGGCGACGAGGTCATACAGTAGGCTTATATTGTGTACTAGGTTCATTCAGGAGTTAATTAATTCTTTAACAAAAAAAATACTTGTTGTAGAGATTGTAGAGCTTTCATTCTGAAGAAGAAAAAAACGACAAAGAAAAATCGCCGTCATGGTGACATGAGCGCGACGTCGGATGACCAACAACGAATGGTCCAACGCCGCGAGATATCTAAGAGCGCCTCCCCATAGTGTTGACATTGGTAGGCATGCAAGGAAAAAAAACGAGAGTCATGACCAGTAGACTCGTGATAGTCGAAACAAGGTGAGGGCAGGATAAAATAGGCATTGTGAACAGTCATCCTTTTTACCACAGGTCGTCCGCGCTTCGCACCATTTCCACCGTGGGCGTTTTGGGCACCATCCTCTTCATCCTCTTCCTGTCCTCCCTAGTCACCAGGGATGGTGTCATAGGGACACAAGGTGTGTATGGCTGGTAGGGAGAATATGGCACAGCGTTCGCTGTAAACGGCGTCCGGCCTCCCCCGGGCGACAAAGGGCCGCGCCGCTCAAACACGGTCTGCTTAGTCGTCTGTCCGTGAGTTGAAGGCGAGCTCAAAGCGGGCTCATACGCACGAAGAGGCAGTGCTCCGCCCGTGCGAACCGCCGATGGTGCATTTCCTCGCTGGAACCGAGCTCCCGACCGCGGCGACAAGGGCAGCGTGCCAAACGTAGCCCCGGGCTTAGGCGAGGACGGAAGGCCCAGCAAAGGTGCCTGCGAGTGCTGAGAAACAGCAGAGTCTGGATCTCCTTCTGCTGGCAATTGCGACTCCTCTTTGGACGTGTTGATCTGGGCGAGCGGGGCGCCGAGACGTCCGTCAATGCTCAGGATACTCTCCGGGGACCGGCCAGGTGGCGTAAGAGGCAGCGTCAGGCCGCTTGATCGAGCCTGGCCGACGGAGCGCGCCTGGTCTGTCGGCACGGGAGGCGGGTCGGCAGGTGCATAATGTCGGGGTGGGATGGCATTCATCTCTTGGTCGTCGTGGCGGGGAAAGGTGCCCGTTTGCGGGGTCATGATAGGTGACGAAATGCTGAGGCCCTTGGGCTTGCTCTGGCGCGGAGATCGCAAACTAGAGAAGAAAGACGAGGCTCGGGACCGGAACTTTTCATCGCTCCCCCCGTTCAAGTTGAGATTGACGGGCTTGCTTTTTTTGGACATGGCGCTGCCACGCTGGCTGGCCGGGCCAACGACAGGAGGCTCCAAGACGATGCCTTTCTCCTTGGCGTCCTCGTGCTCCATGACATGCTTGTACATGTCCTCGAGCTGATTTTGAGCCATTGCGTGGTCTGCTGCAACAATGGCCTGGTCGACTTGAAGATCAACACCTGGAACGGAGGCGTTGGAAGGAGAGGCGGGCGGGAGAATGTACGGCGTGCCGGTGAACTCGCTTCTCGTCGGCGACTTGTATGAAAAGTTGGGAACCTGTGCTACGGCACACTTACCCGCCAGCGGGTATGGGTCGATTTCCGTCTGGAACCTGGGACTGCAAATCTGCGCAAAGGCGGCAGCGTAGGCGACGGCCTCGTCTTCTTCGTCGCCGAGGAGATGCTCACGGCGGGTTTTTGACAGGTACAAGAGCCCAAGGGCGACAAAAATCAGAGCAACAGCGTAGGCTCCCACAATGCCGCCAATCTCAACGGGCAGGTACTTTTTGTTGCGCAAGGCGTGGGCGGAAAAGGCAGGGCCGTCCTCGGGAGCCGGCGTGGGCGCAAAATAATTGTGACGAAGGTCGCTCAAGACGCTGGCGTGAACAAGCGGCAGTAAGGCGCACAAGGCCACGACGATATGTAGGGGGGAGAGCGTAGAGAGCCCAGGTGGCATGGTTCGACGTGCCAGCCGAAGTTGGGCAGCTACTGGTGTTTTTAAGAGGAGGCGATCACGATGTGCTGAAACCTGTTGCTGACGCGCCTCGATGGATGAGGACAAGCACGGAGAAAACGACGCTTACAGAATCAGGGGGATGACGGAGGGATATAGCGAGATGCGTTGGGCAGGCTGGTGATACTCTGAGGGTGGTTGGTGGTTGTGTAGCACTTAGCGCTGAGGGCTACCCGTGCGGTCCTCCGAGGAGAAGGCAGTGGAGGAGAGGCATTATTTCAGTCGGCACCAGGGCCACCTGCCAGACAACAGACAAGCCCGAGAAAAAGAGGGTGGCATGCATGTTTGATGGCGAGGTAACTGGCGTTGGCGGAGGAGGGGCCGTGTGCATGGACGACGCGGTGAGAGGATTGTGGTTGGATGAGGATGGAGGGGAGGCCAGTCGGGACAGGGATTTAAGCGCCCGGCTTCTGGGCTGAGGCAGCAGGCTGTCGTGATTGGCTGCTGCACGGTTCTAGTCACATAGACTAAGACCACAGGCCCCCCCGCCTTGTCAATTATCAACTCGGCACCTTGGATAATGCGCTGATCGACGTTGTGTTTTTTCCTCTCTTTAATAATCAGGTTGCTAAATTTACATTTTCTCTCGGACAAAATTCTTCAGGGGCTAGCGACTATTCGTACGTACTTTGACCTCAGTTATTACAGGAAGAAATATGAGACATGTTAGTACGGAGTACAGTACTGTCTTAGTTAGTACTGTACCTATGTAGGCCTACATACAGTGGGGGGATGTAGGTACCTGTATCGCAACACTGTCACCGCCTTCTAATAATACACCATACACACCACACCCATCTGGCTCGGTTCTGGTTACCCCCTCCCCGGCCCACCCGCGAACAGTAATTATTAAACGGCTTGACTTTACGAGCAGTATAGATTACAGTGCGAAAGAACTCGGGAAGCAAAAAAAGAAAACATACAGCAGCCGGTGTTCAACTAGTTACTAATCTGCCAGTCAGTAGCTTGACTTCAGCGGAGCAAACGAGACGCGGTATTTTCTACTGCCTATGGCCGTATGTACCAGTTGGTTGGCCAATGACTTATAATGATTGTAGACTCGGCGTCGAAATGATTTCCAAGTGGAGGCAATCCTTGCAGCGGCCTTTATTCGATGTTGCAGGCTCTCTCGCCTAACTAGGACGCGCAAAGTAAAAGAAGCGCGGGCGTGTAATTGTAAGTATACGCCTTTGACATAAATAAAGTGCTTGGAACGGGCTGGGCAGGAAAACGATGCATTGGTACAAATTAGTCTCCAGTGATTGTTTACATAGTAGCACGTGATTTCGCGATGCCGCTAGCCCCGTCGCGTTCCCTGTCGCGTCCTACTGAAGATTTGTCCGGAATAGCAAAGCAATAGTTTGAATTTTTACTCTTCGAAACTTGCACTCAATCCGGACTAATGCTCGCTACTAGCTAGCGTTTGTATGTACAACAGTCGCAACAACTAGCCGATTTTCTCCACACGCCCGCATCGATGCTCCCTCCGCCATGGCCGCAAAAAACACCCAGCAAGATATCCTTGCTTCCCTAAACGCGGCCCAGAGACGCGCCGTCACCTCGGAATCCAATACCGTCGCTATATTAGCTGGACCAGGTAGTGGGAAAACACATACCCTCACCTCCCGTGTCGTATGGCTTGTCCAAAAGGCGGGCTTTAGACCCTCTGAGATGATCGTTGCGACATTCACGGTCAAGGCTTCGAGGGAGATGCGAGAGCGCATTGGCAAGATCTTGGGGGAAGAGATCCAGAGAAAAATTGTTCTCGGCACATTTCATTCAATTGCGCGCCGCTACCTCGCCTCATACGGCAAGCACATTGGCCTCGACACTAAATTCGGCATTGCCGACGATAATGACTCCAAAGCAATTCTCAAGAGACTCATCAAACGACTCGGCCTGCAGCTAGAGCCCGCCATGGCAAAGGGCTGGATTAGCAAGAGAAAATCTAGAGGAAGCATGGACCCGCCACCAGTACAGAGCAAGTACCCCGACGGAAAACCAAGGCCAGAGAATCCGAACTTGCAGCGATGCTTCGATGAATACCAGGCCCAGCTCGCCTCGGCCAATTTGCTAGACTACGATGATTTGTTAGTCCGCTGTGTTGAGCTGCTGCGTGCATACCCCATATGTGTTTCCAACGTCAAGACCGTCCTAGTGGACGAATACCAAGACACAAACGGCATCCAGTACGACCTCATGAAGCTCTTTGCTCAACGACGCCATCGCATAACAATCGTTGGTGACCCTGATCAGAGCATATACGGCTGGCGCTCGGCCGAGATTAGAAATCTCCACCGACTGCTGCGCGAATTCCCCGACACCGATGAAATCTCGCTGGAAGAAAACTACCGTTCCTCCAAATCCATTCTCAGCGCCTCCCTCAACGTCATTCAGCAGGATGTCAATCGCTACGAAAAGGTCCTCTTGCCGATCCACAGCAAGGGCACAAAGCCAGTCCTGCGACATTTGCAGTCAGCAGCCGACGAAGGCGAGTGGATTGTTAGAGAGATACAGCGCGCAACTCTCATGACCGGTGGCATGCTCAAAGGCGAGGACTGCGCTATACTTCTCCGCTCTGCTTCGTTGTCTCGTCATGTAGAGGCTGCGCTCGGGAAAAAGGGAATACCATACCGGATGGTAGGCGGCCACAAGTTTTACGAACGGAAAGAAATAAAGATCCTACTCGACTACCTCCGCGTCGTGCATCAGCCTCACAACAACGACGCTGTTGCGCGCATCATAAATGTTCCCAAACGCGGCATTGGCGAGATCACCATCAAGAGCATCCTAGAAGAGGCCGAAACCGGAAAGCGGCCAATGTGGACAGTCTTGGTGGACCACTGCGAAGGAATCTGTCCCATCGACAGGTTAACGAAGTCGCAGGAAAACAAAATTCGTGGTGAGTTGGTAAGAATCATCACATCGCTCCAAAAGCAAGTCGAAATGGGAGAGCCTCAACCTCTAGTTGAAGTAATTCAGAGGCTGATAACGGAGCTGAATTATGAGCAGTTTTTGAAGAAAGAATTCGGAGAGGACCACGAAGGTCGGTGGGCCAGTGTGCAAGAATTTGTCAACTTGGCAGCGGACTTCATGGTGCAATTTGATCATTTTGACGAAGATGCCCTTCCTGAGATTGAAGAAGCCGAGGAACAAGGGGAGGACACCCTACTTGGGCGTTTCTTGGCCAATATTGCTCTCGCTTCCGACGCGCAAAAGGACCAGGAAGACGGCGACAGCTCCACGTTTGTGACAATCTCGACCATTCACGCCGCCAAGGGTCTCGAGTGGCCTATGGTCTTTGTTCCTTGTGTGTATAACGGGTCTATCCCGCATGCTCGTAGCGAGGATGACGACGAGGAGCGTAGACTGCTGTACGTTGCCATGACACGTGCCAAGTGCCTACTCTACTTGAGCTGTCCCTCCACTACTTCTTGGGGCAACGGGGGTGCCACGTTGTCTAGTTTCGTCTCGGATATCGCCGACACGGCCTTTGCCCAGCAAGGTCCTTCGTTTGGCAGAAGCGTTGTCGAAGACATTGCTAAATTGCTCCAACGATCTGCGCCATCAGAGAAGGACGTGTTTGCCAAGCTGCCACACCTGTTTTCAACCGAGGACGATCTGTACCCTGCCGACCCTTCAAACCCGCGGAGATTCAAGGGCTTGATCGGCAGCGAGGGCAGCCATCGGGGTAGCACGATGGGCAGCAGCAAGCGCCAGCGCATTGATGGTCCAGACACTGCCGCGGCGGTGGATTGGAAGCCAGGCTACAAGACAACGATGCAAGAGTCATCCGGCTTCACCATGTCGAATCTTCCCGGCTTCATGACAGCCAGCGCGCGACAGAACATTGTCGATCTCGAGGCCGTGGAGAAGCAAACCGCAGAGAAGAGCACGATGAAGACTGTGCCGAAGCGCAAACACGACCAACATTCCTTGCTTGGCTACGTGTCGTCCGGGCCAGGCAAGCCGACGGCCACTCAGTCAGCGCGCCAGTCGTCGGCCGCCCTCGGTCGACTTAGCTCTGTTGCCAAAGCGGCGGCCCCTCCAGCCATCGAGACGAGTCTCGCGCGCCATAATATTACGCACAGACCGGATTGGCGGGTGCCAGGGACGAAGCGATTACACATCCCGAATGAGTATCCATTCCTCTACAGCTCGCCTACCGAGCCCGTCTCGTCAAAGGAGGTCCCCGAGAAGACAATAGCCCCACAGCGGCCCGCTTCGAATATATCTCTTATACAAAACCCGACGAGCTTTCAAGCCGGCAAGATTGCTGGCATACGGCGGCCGGCGGGCATGGGCGCGCCTCCGGTGCTAGATAAAGTGCGAAGGCCATTCAAGCGGTTGACGGTGAATCGGCAAGCAACGAAGCGTGAATAGAGTTTTTTATCTTGTCGGAGAAGCATTTTCGATTGGTGGAATCTATCTTTTGTCTGCGGCGTAAGTTATGGACAAGTGGGCATGGTGGGATTCTTGTTTGAGGAACGGAAAGGCATGCTGCGGGGCGGGTAATCATGGATTGTATATGTGTCGGCAGCACATCCTTTTCCCATTTTTTTGCGACGAGTTCTAGGTGTTGACTTTGTAATTTTGTCCGTGGCCGTGGCGGAATTCCTTCTGAGATGTCGTTGCTGATGAGTCGGCAGCGTTGTACCGACAGGAGCCCGACCAAGTTGGCGCAACCATCAAAGACTTGTGCATTAGCGGCAAAGGCTATCATAAGTTACTTCCTTTCTGTTTCAGTAGCAGCCAGATACTTATAGAGGTCAGGCTTGTAAATACGTGTAATGTTGACTTGAAGCTACTGGCCTAGTACGGTACCCATCGTGCACCCGTTGTATAGTGGTCATGTCTTGCAACCACGCACCCGGCTTTGTACTTATTCAGTCCGAATTGTTTATTTCGAGAAGATCATACAAGTATTATCTTGCTCGATACAATTTGAAAGTCGCGAGGAAATTCAGTAATGGAAGTGAGATTATTATAACTATCACCAGCCCCACCGCACATCCCCCGCAGCCGTATTGCCGTGCTGGCTGTACCTTTTTTAGAGTGCACTAAACAGGATGGGGCGTTGTGTTCAAACTTAGTAGGTAGGTACTTGATGAGGCACTTGGGAACCTGCAAGGACCTGGACATGAATTAGGCTGATGTCGCTCCGGGGCTGGTTGCTACTTTATAACATGTCCGAGATGACTACAGCAGTCGTCTTGACAAGCTTTCTCTAGCACTTGGACGAGGCAAGACGCCAGTCGTCGTGGAACCTATAAAGAGAGTCCGGGCGATCGCTGCCGCAGCGGGGCGCTCGCAAGCCTCTCCCAGACGAGCTAGTCAACTTAACGTTAGTATACCTATGTACATAGTAGTGGACGGAGCGATCATGGATCAGCGGACCGCTTCATCGCAGTAGCGGTCCACCTGCCCAGGTCACCAGCACGTTGCCCGAGGCCATCCAAAGGTCACTCATGTGCCATCGAGTTGAAGTTCAAGCGAAGGGGGTAGTTTATCCAAATTGAGGTGCGGAACACGCGACCATGTCTTGGACGGCACGAAGCGTGGGCCAGTATCCGTGTGTGAGTGGGAAAAAGCTGAAAATTTTGTCGGCGTCGCGTCGCCGTTTGCTGGGCCAGCAACACATATTGACTAACAAAGATCGGCAGCCATCATTGTACCACTACGACACCGGCAAAGCTGACAAAATGAACAATACACGTCAACAATACACCCTTTTATTAGTGACTTGGTCCCTACAAGCACCTTGGACGGTTCATCAGAGACACATGGACCGCACTAGCTCTCCAGGCAACATCACTGGTCGAGGCATACTGGCTAGCTACCATGACTGCTTCCCCTGGCTCTCGCGGCCAAATGGTTGATGAGTAGACTCAGCATGCAAACCTGTCAAATCAGACGAGCTGGGCCAGCCAGCCACAGAGGACCACGAAATGGGCCATGTATCCGGCTACCCCTCCCTTGAGCGTCCACTAACTAGGGTTCGACGATGGCCCTTTGTCAAATCTAGCTTCTGGTTCTTGTTTGCCTCCGGAGCTCGTTCATTGGCGAGAAGAAGAAATGAGCATTTCGTGTCTCGACAATGACGTGCAGGAGGTAGCGACTCGAGACATTTCCCCCTCGCGCTACCAATACAGGCAACCTCTGCCTTGTCATTCCCAGGATGGTGAAACAGGCAGCTCATACCAGTCTGGAACTTGAACGCCAATACCAGCAAGTTGTGGACAAATTGCCATGAAATGCTCGACCCCCAGCACCAAAACCGTAGGGGGGTGCATCCATTCAGCCAGTCGAATGCCGCGACGTCACGAGGGGCCGAACCAGATCCGCCACTCCTAGCGCGATACAACTGGTTGCTCTCTAGCACCGACCACCAGACCACCTTCGTACATAGTAGCCCCGAGCTACAGGCATATAGCTTCTTGAAGAAAAAAAAGGACAATAAATAGTCGAACTCCTGCTGCGCCGAGGAGGTGTTTTGTCCAGATCGCCTTTTCTGCAGCCTAGGTAGTCGGGTCTCTTACAACAACACAACAATGGGTGTTCCGGATGCTCCGCGAAAGGCGCCGCCTGCCTCTTCTTTCAAGACTCTCGCCGCCGTCTTCTCCTTCGTCTTACTATTCATCTTTGGTGTCTATGCGCTGGGCATACCCGTCGACAGCCATGACCGACGCGCCTACAGCTTCGCCAAGGCGCACTTTGGCCACCGGGCGAGCTCCGCCGCCTCCGCGTCGGCCCGCGGCGACAAGTACCTGATTGGCGTGGGCAAGGCCGACATCACCGGCCCCGTCGTCGAAATTAACTTTGCCGGCTACGCCAACCTTGACCAAAAGGGCTCCGGTCTGCGCCAGCGCCTCTTTAGCCGCGCCTTCATCGTCGGCGACAAGAGCAATCCCGACGACCGGTTCGTCTACATCGTCATTGACACCCAGTCGGGCGACACGGCCATCCGCTACGGCGTGCTGGACGGCGTCGCCGCCTTGGGCAGCGATTACGCGGTGTACGGCCAGCAAAACATTGCCCTGACGGGCACGCATAGCCACTCGGGACCTGGCGCCTGGTTCAACTATTTGTTGCCCCAGGTCACGTCTTTTGGCTTTGACAAGCAGAGCTACCAGGCCATCGTCGACGGCGTTGTCCTATCCATCAAGCGCGCCCATGAAAGCTTGCAAGAAGTGCGTCGCGTGATATGAATCTAATTATTGAGGTACAAAATAAACTGACCAGACAGGGTTATATTGATGTGGGAACCACCAGGGTCCCCGACGGCGCCATCAACCGCTCTCGCTGGGCCTATCTGCACAACCCCGAAGAAGAACGAGCCAAATATGAGGACGAAACTGACACCACGCTCACTCTCATTCGCTTCCAGAGGGCTTCGGACAGCAAAAACATTGGAACTCTCTCCTGGTATCCTGTCCACGGCACTTCGATGCTTGGTAACAACACCCACGCCTCGGGGGACAACAAGGGTGTCGCGGCTTGGATGCTCGAGGAAGACATGAAGAACGACCAAAACACCGCCGAGGGCTTCGTCGCCGGATTCAGCCAGGCCAATGTCGGAGACACAAGCCCCAATGTCGGAGGCGCCTGGTGCGATGACGGCACTGGCCAGCAATGCAGTCTCGAGAACAGCACCTGCGCCGACGGCAAGTCGGAGTCGTGCCACGGCCGCGGTCCGTTCTTTGAGGCTCTGGACCTCGGCGTAAAAAGCTGCTTTGAGATGGGTCGCCGCCAGTACGCCGGCGCCAAGTCGATTCTTGTAAGTTTTTGGCCGGCGTTGAGCCCACACTCTGATCCCTTGTTAACACGCAATCAGGACTCTCTAGACTCTTCGGGCACTGCCATCTCTGGGTCGACGGTCAAGGCCTTTCACTTCTACAATGATATGCGCTACTTCAACTTTACCCTTCCCAACGGCGAGCAGGTCCAGACGTGCCCGGCCGCTCTTGGGTACTCCTTTGCGGCCGGCACTTCGGACTGGCCTGGCGCGTTTGACTTTACGCAGGGCGATTCGGGCAAGCCCAGCGCCAGTCCTATCTGGCGTGTCGTCTCAGGGCTGCTCAGAGAGCCCAATGAGCAGCAGAAGAAGTGCCAGGAGCCCAAGCCGATCCTGCTCGACGTCGGCGAGATGGAGACGCCGTACCCATGGACGCCTAACATTGTCGACGTGCAGATGCTGCGCGTCGGGCAGCTCGTCTTCATCATCAGCCCGAGCGAGGCGACAACCATGGGCGGCCGCCGCTGGCGCGCGGCCGTCGCCAGGGAAGCCACCGCCTTTGTCACCGACCCGGTCGTCGTCCTCGGCGGCCCGGCCAACAGCTACGCGCACTACCTCGCGACGCCAGAAGAGTACGACGTGCAACGCTACGAGGGCGCCTCGACGCTCTTTGGCCGCCATGCGCTCGACGCCTACATCCACCTCACCGTCAGCAACATGCGCTACCTCTGGCCCAACGCCACCGACCACCCGGCCCAGGGCACGCCGGCCCCCGACAACCGCGGCAAAATGCTCTCGTTCATCACGGGCGTCGTCGCCGACGGCAACCCCATTGGCAAGGCGTATGGGGCCGTGCTTCGGCAGCCTTTGAGCGCCACCGCCGTCGGCGCCGTCGTCAACGCCACGTTCCAAGGCGCCAACCCGCGCAACAACCTCCGCCAGGAAGACACGTTTGTCGCCGTGGAGCGGCAGGGCGCCGACAGCACTTGGTCCCGCTACAAAGACGATAATGACTGGTTCCTCGTCTACTCGTGGCGCCGCACAAACGGTCTCCTTGGTTGGAGCGAGGTCGACGTGTCGTGGGAGACGCAGCAAGGGCACGCGGAGCCGGGCACGTACCGCTTCAAGTACTATGGTGACGCGAAACCCCTCATTGGACGCGTCAAACAGTTTGAGGGCACGAGCAACTCTTTTACCTTGTCTTGATTGACCGGGTGGCGGGGGCGCAGGGGTAAGCAAAGGGGATGTGCCTTTGGGGGCGCGCAAACTCGATACACTTGTATATAGATTTTTATACGAGATTGACATGTAATTTGTTACCGTTTTGTCATGACGAATCTAGCCGGACTTCATATCAATTACTTCTTTTAGTTCAAGTTGCAAATACGGGAATGCGTGTTCGACAAAATTCCAACACTGATTATCCGTCTTGTGCACATGTATGCAAATTATGCAATTGGGGGCTCATGTGGGCAACTTGACCAGTCACTTCTTCTTCGTGCTTCTAGAACACGTCCCTCTCTTTCTATTTTTTTGTCCTATCTTTCTTTTGTTTGCCCATAAGCGTCTGGGGAAACTTTGTCTCTGACACCTTTGTTTGCAGGGGGGGGTTGTGGTGGTGGCACGTCATCAACCCGTTTGTCTTGTCTTTTTTCTCTCCCCCTTGCCGTGCGCCCGAGAAACGTCTTTGCTGATCCATCGGAAGCTTCTCGGTCTGGGGTTTGGACTCCCTTCGGCAAAGTCGCCTTTCAAACCAAAATGGTCCAACTGGCCCGGCCCCGGCCGGGGACACAGGGATGAACATGCTGATGAGGAAGGGGGGAGGGGCGCGAGGGGGGGGAGAAAAAGGAGGACAAACATGTCCGCTTCGTCATAAATGATAGACTGTTTTTTTTATTCAGGAATATGCATCCTGCGTGGTGCCCATCGGGCAGTGTCGCCGAAAATGTTCCGAGGGCTTGCCCTGCAAGTCCCTGAGAGTTCCGATTCCCCTCAATCTTCTATTCTATTTTCGACAAGTTCATCACGAGCCTGTCGTGCTTCTCTTGTCCCCTAATTAGACAAGCACTTGCCTGTTGTGACGACAGGGGTGGTGCGTTGCCTGAACGTGTGCGAGTGTGTGTGTGTGTGTGTGTGTGTGTACGGAGTAAGGATGACAGGTACAGGTTCTAGTCTCCGCTCGTCGGGAAGAGAGCAGGGCTTGAAAGCGTCGCACAACATGATCCAAGACGTTGAGAACGACAATTGTGTGTCAGCGCGCGGAACGCCGAGTTGTGCCTTTGCTGCCTCGCCCTTGGCCCCCTCCCTCGGCTGCCTGGGGGCACCCATCTTTCCCACCCTCCATTTTCCCCTGCCGGCAAGTGCAGTAGAGGGGGCTACGCCTCATCCTGTGAGGCTTTGCACGGGTTCATTAGCCCTCTGGCTGCGTGGCATTGAAGCCATAGCTTTGCGCCTCTCTGCATGCATATGTAGAACGGGACAATCGCACGCTCATCCGGTGGCGGTCTGTGCAGAACAAGAGAGGGAGTTGGTACCAGTGCGGAACTCTTGAGCCGATATATTTGTACTGGTACGGACGTGAATTTTCCGAAACTGTGGTTCTTGGATGCATCGGCCCATGGCTGACGCTGATGCTGTTAAGGATCTCCGCAGCAGCAAAGTGTGTGGCAGGGCGCCCGCTCTGATCAGTCCGGCTGGTTGTCACTCCTTTCTGATCCGGAGTCACTGTTACTTAATACTCCGTAGTTACTTCGCAGCCGAGTCACCTCGTCTGGTCTTTCTCGGTGGCGTCGTGATCCGTTAATACAGGCTTCCACGTACACTCGACCAGGCACGCATACTGCCCGAATGCAGACCGATTGCAAGACCATCGGTTCAATATCCTGATGTGGAGCTATTGTGGTTCTTTTCGGTGAATACATGGCCAATCTGTGGACAACCAATATTAGTAGATAATTACTTCTGCATTCCAGGCACAAACCATGGACCCCTGCCATTATACGTCTTCCATATGTGCCGACCTGCTCATCAAGCTCTGTTAGCTGCGATAACAACCAATATGCTACTGGTAGTGGTATGTAGATGTGGTCTCTTGTGGTGGAAAGCAGACCAGGGCTCTGTCGTGGTGGTCGCTAGTTGCGGCACAATAGGTCCGACAACTATACAGTGCGATGCCAATTCGCAGTTTCTTAGATCCAGTGAATCGCACAGTGTATTGGCAGGTTGAGTTGTTTTCTATACCAGGATTTTCTGTAAACGGTCAAGTGATGGCCGTGGTGGGATTTTCAGTCCAAGCTGTGGGAACTTCGCTGTCAGAAACAGTTGACATAGTTGTTTTGTGAGCTCGAATCTTTGTGGAGTTGAGCGGCACGTATTATTTACCATGTCATAACGCCCAACCGTTACCAGGTTTCAATTTCAGGAATAGATTGTTCTGGTTGCTCAATTTTTGAGTTTGCTGGATGTGATGTTGATTGCCGCTGGCAGGGAAGCCCGTTAGCCGACACAGCGCCATGTTACAGTGCGCGGGGAAATTTCTGGAACAAAGTATTGCGCTGCTTGTATCATGCGAGTGTTTACGTTTGATAATAGAGCGATTTCGTATTCTTCCTTTGTGCTGCGCTTCTTGATTGGATGCTGCCGGTCATGGTACTGCTTCAGGCCCGGAGGACACTCCGTCGCAACTCCTTCACCATGCGTGTCCCTGGTCATCTGCAGCACACCGACGGAGATTTTTGTCTTACCATTTTACGGATCTTGCCACGAAGCAGGGTCCTTGCTCGCTAGACTTGATAACGTGGCAAGCCACCACGTCTTCCTGCCAGACAGTCTCTCCGCCGGCCAACGTAGGATTCAGGATGTTGCGAGTCAATTAGTCCTTCTTTGTCAAGGTCTCGACTTCTCGGGGGTTTGCACATTTCTTTTGACGGGCCGGTCCGCATTCATAGGTTAGCTCGGCCGGATATCAATCAATCCAGGCGCTCCGACCCACTGGCTCAGTCGAAGCCAAAACGGATGTAGTATGACTAGATATGTGTGCCTTGGCTATGATGATCAAGCATGACTCATTGCAGGAAGACGAAGCGGCGCCGAATAGTGTTGACGAGATGAAGGTGCTTGCTGCTGACGTGATCATCCAGAGATGCACGAAGGCATCACCAGTGTGTGTACATGAGGCATTGTAACTCGCGGCCACTGTTGGAGAAGAATTGACCAAACATGACTGATTACCTAGTACGACTAAAAAAATAGACATTGGTTGTTATGTACGTGTCCAGGAGGTGATCGGTCTGAAAAACGTGCAAGGAGAACAAAGGTTAGAGAGGCTGTCGCATCAGCGAGCTGACGGGAAACAGCAAGCAGACCACCTGCCGCGCTGCCCTCTTTGCCTTCTTTCCATGGGATCGTGTCGCGTGAAGTTGGAGCTGTGATACGCGTCAAGCCCAGCCATCAGTTAGTTGCCTTTGCCTCGTCTTCCTCGATCCGTGTGTGGCTCGTTCCTCCCTCCACATCCAACGGCCAGACCGGGGTCGATGGTTCAATTTTGGGGCCGCACTAATACCTATCGTCACACATCCCTCATATCCCTCCTATTTCCTTCGGGCCCCCTGTTCCGGGAATCGCGGTGCCTAGTTGTCTTGCGGCTTCAACAGTACGGAGGCCGCGGAGGAAAGGGATAATCTGACTGCTCGTAGATCCCAGCCGATCGGGGGAAAAGTAAAAAAAGGAACCGAAGGCACACGACTCATACCTCATACACTCACACCCAAGATCCGAGGGCGGTTTGGCAGTCTATGCGCACTCGTCAGCATAAACATAAACAGTGAACTAGCCTCGTCTCCCACCCCCCTTCCTGCCAGGCCCGCAGTCAACAAATTCAGCTCTGCAAGGTGCAGCCCGCTGGCGCGCACCGAAAGAAATCTGGTCAATAGGCAAACGCCACCATTATTTGCGGCCAAAAAGCCATTATACACAAGGCACAAGGCTACGGATCTCAAGGCCCGAGTTGCCTGTTGTCATGTCCGAGTCCGGGCGCTGGTGCAGCGACTGTTTGTCTGGTGGCAGGTGCTTCGGTGTGTTTGGCAAGCAAGCTGCGCGACTGCCTTGCTGAACACGAACTTTGACGGGCAAAATACTGAACTCAATACGGCGTACTACAGGATCCAAGTTTTCAACTCATCGTCTCGTTCCCCGCGCCCGCCCGGGTAGTGGGATGGTCCGAAAGCCAGTCTGGATACGGCCCCTGTGCCGACAAGAACAACAAATAGCATTCGCAGCGTCGCCCGCAGTTGTGACGAAGCCGAGCGAGGGTAGTGTCCACAAGCAATTGCCTAAGCTAGCATCTTGCAGGCTCGCTGGGGCTGACTTTTGCCCAAACGTCTGGTCGCCTGCCTTTGCCTTGAGATGCGACAAGGATGCTGCTGCACGTCCAGTCTCCCCGGCACATCCTATCCACCCCCTGGAGTTCCATGACAGCCACAGGTGCACCGCAGGCTCTGGAAAAGAGGCTGGATCCTGCGGAACTGGGGACTCGCCTGTGCCAGGCTGCCAGCAGCTCTCTGGCTGGCCCAGGATAGGGGGATGTGATGGGTGCGGCCGCCATCACAGCCTCCGCAGAGCACTGGCGCACCGGCACCCGAGAATAATCGTCAGGCCACGCTCATGCCAGTCAATCATGCAAAATATCCCGGTGATTGGAGAGGGGGCGACTGGGGTACCTGTGGCCCTTGAGTTTGGCCCCAGCAAGCAGGTCCCCCAATGCGCTCAATGGGCTAGAAAAGCTCTTGATTTATTATGAGCGAAAGGGCGGCTGCTGCAGTCCCCTCTCTGTTTCTAATATGTCGTGCTTCAACTCTGTGTGGCCGCGCTGCCACCAGATCCCACACACCCTTCAATGTTACTCGGGGCACTCAGGGCAAGGCCGGAAAAGCAACGCGGAGAAAAATGGCTCTGGCCCAGTCTACCTTCCCAAACTACTGCCAGAACGCATCTTCAACCGCCTAAAACAGCAACATTTGTCTGCTTCCTTCTTTGGACCCGGCTACTTTGACCTTCCCTTCGTCTTTCCGCCGCTGGTCCTCTCTGCCTCCAGCATCTTTCTGGTCCACGCTTTTCTCAAATGCCGTCAGTCTTATCGTTCATGATATTTTATCGGCCCCCAACGCGGTTCTGTCATTAATCGCTCTGCGCTACTCTCTTTGGTGCTACGACTTGCTGCGTCATCTCGTTCATTGCAGTCGGGTCTGTGTGTCTTGCATGGTATCACGGTTGCGCGGATTGTACATGACAGCGGCAAACCAAGCCGTATAGCTTCGCCCCGGCCTAATCGCTCCGCCTATATATTCTTGAGCTTATCCTTTGCTTGACCTATAGTATTCTTGAGCTTATCCTTTGCTTAAGATCTAAGCAATCCTCCCCTCTATCTCCACACTCACAGCCTCTTCCTCTCTACACTCTGGTGATATATTTCCCATTCCGCGTTGCCAACTGTTTGCCGAGCCACCAGGATGAGCACATCACCATCAGGCAGCACAAGCGGCCCTACACCATGGCAAGACAAGCTTGAAGGTATGAATTCTCTACTGCGCTCTTGATGCTGGAGAGCATGCTCTGACTGACTCGGTACAGAGTTGTGTCGTGAGGCGCAGATACTGCCACCAGTATTCCATATAGTTTCCGATCGACGAGGTTGGCTCTCCAGATGCATCCAAGTATCGCAAACTGTTGCTGACAACCAGTATTAGGTGGCAGGACAGCTTGGTCAAGCCGAGTCACGGTGCAAGGAAAGGTTTTAAGTGCCCGGTTTTGGTACGATGGCAGAAATCTTAACAATGCAAAGGAGGACGCTGCAGAATGCGCCGTCAATTGGCTTACCTCGAATACTGGTCCTACCACAAGTACTACAGCCTCGAGCACTTGGACAGGCTGGTGATTCTTGCGACCGCGAGTGACAAAACGCCGATGATGTGAGACCATCACGATCGAATCATTACTTGGAAGTCGCCCTTTACTCTCGATTTCACACAAAAAAAAAACAGTTGGTGTTTTGCGGTATCTAGCGAGCATGTGAGAATGCACACAGCGGGTGGTGGTAGTTTGAGCCGTTGAAAGCGTTGCATTTGGCATATTTCATATTTGCATGGGTAGCACTGCATGGAGCCAGATGGGAGCGGAGCAACGTTGAGCCAGCGACTCATCTCATCTCAACTTTTTATAATTAGCTACTTTCAAAAGGCGGTCCATTCCGAGGTACGGAGATCGCGGGATTTTAAGCGGCATACAGGTTCGCTGCAATGGTTTGGGCCAGGTTGTAGGCATTAGACCCCGGTGAGAGGGAGTCGGGTTTGGCCTGCAAAAGGCTAAATGTGCCTATTGCTGGATATTATAGTAGTTCCCTAGCTAATTGATCACGATACATAGTCAAGTGCTTCATGAGAGAAGGGACATCTCTACACAAGATCGCGCAGCCTTTGTAAATTGGAGGCCCCATTTCACCTTTTCCGTCGCCACCACGATGCAGTCGGAGACAGAACACCGACCATAGTGCAAGCGAACGCGGTAAACCCAGGCTTGACGTCCAGCAGCCAAAATCCCGCTACAGTTTCGCCCCCTTTTCTTCCGTCAGAAAAAAAAAAACGGTGTGTGGTTGATCAACTCAACTCATGATCGCGAGTAGAGGGTCAGTCGGCTGGCCTCCGGAGCGGATAAGCTCTGTTCCGAACCCGCCAGGAGCTACGACAAGCCAGGAAATTTCCATCTGGCAACACGCGAGCTCCTGCGATTGCGACGACAAAGCATTACCTCCCACCCGGGACTCTGATTTATTCACAATGGCGACCGCAATGCCTAGGGGACTACGAATTCTCCAAACGTGTCGAGGTCTCGCCGTTCGCTCGGCGCCCCCTGCTTGCGCCAGACCGCAGGCGCTGCTACACGTAGCTCGACCCTATCGCTTGCAATCGAACGATGCGAAGACCCAAATTCCGAGTGTTACCGAATCAAATGCCACCAACACAGGCAGCTCTATCACAGAGGTAATTAATCCATTTTGACGGTCCAATTGAAGAAAGATGGGCGCCATTGAACAAGGATGAGGACTGACTAGGCCTGGCGTCGCAGGTATCCTCTTCGAACCCGATTGATAGCGTCGACGATGGTGCGCTCGAGCAGATGCTATATGGTGGCCGGGCGAGCAAACAAGGCGGCCTGACGGATGCACAGGAGGAGGTGCTCTACCGCGACGGCGAGATTCCTCCCGCGGAGAGCGCCGAGGCCGTGTTGGCCTTGGGGAACGCGGAGGCGGACGAGCTCGAAGCGGAGGGCGCAGTTGGCAAGGACATTCAGAACCTGGGACACAAATGGCCTCTGCCGCAAAAGCCGTATCCGGAGGGCTTCAACGTTAAGAAGCGATACCATGACGTGGTGGAGCAGATTACGAGGTTGATGATGCGCGATGGCAAGCTGGCTACTGCTCAAAGGGTACGTTTCGTTTACAATGCTGGTGGTCCTGCAATATACTAACCACCGAGGGCCTTTTGTTTGGTTGCAGAATCTGGCGATGACGATGAACTTTCTTCGGATGGCGCCGGAGCCGACATTCAGCCCCAAGTTCCCGCTACTGCCCGGGACGCCGCCGGCATCGCACCTGTCGCTGAACCCGATCCTGTACCTGACGGTGGCGATTGACTCGGTGGCGCCGCTGATCCGGGTCAAGGCGATCCCAGGTGCAGGCGGCGGCGGGCGGGCGCTGGACATGCCGCAGCCGCTGACAGTGCGGCAGCGGCGGCGGCGGGCGTTTACGTGGATGCTGGAGGCGGTGGAGAAGCGGCCGAGTAAGGGCAGCGGGCGGACGCAGTTTGCGCACCGGCTGGCGGACGAGGTGATTGCCGTGGTGGAGGGCCGGTCGTCGGTGTGGGAGAAGCGCAAGCTGGTGCACAAGCAGGGCACGACGGCGCGCGCCAACGTGGAGAAGAGGGTCATGATCAAGAAGGGTGTTGGGAAGTAATGGAGCGGAAATGAATAGGAGGGGATGGGGGTGAGTTGTGCTTTGTATTATAAGGTTTGATAACCGCCTCTTTTACTCTCTGTCCTGCTGCCCACTGTAGTGGAGGGATAGAAAGGGAATGTAACATATAGAATGCCAGGGGCGAAATGCATGAGGTTGTTTGGAGCCATTGAGGCTGACTGATGCGCAAGTGATTTTGATGTCATGCGGAGGGTATCGGTGCAGGTTGACGGCACCAATCTATAGCCTAGGTGTAAATGTTTGTGGAGGATGCTGGTCTGGCTACTGTGGTGCTGTTCTAGTCCTGAGCGGTTTGGGTCGAGGTGTAGGAGTGTGACGCCCACGATGACGGCCCCCGAGTTTAGATTCCAAGTCCATCTCGCCTAACTCACTTAATGGCTTGCAGTGGAAATATGTATGTTTTTCGCCGTCAACAAATCAAGATGGTCGTGGGTTTGGTGGGCGGAGGATGAGGTTGACGGGGAACGAGGCTTGGAGGCCTGCATAAGGTTTTGGTTAGGCTCACGGGACGATCAGTGGACGTGGCAGCCCATTTTTTTGGGGGCCTGTTGTTGCTTGCGCGCCACTATCAGTTGACTGACGAAGCAGAACTATGTAGGGAGAAGCGGAGCCATTGTCTGGGACGTTGAGTATTAGAGAATGGTTTTTTTTCTTGTGCTTTTTTTACAAGTCGATCGGTCAGGTTTACTTATTGTCAACGACAGTGGCAGTTGGCAATCGACTCAGCCTCTCACAATATCTAGGCCAACAGCAAGCGTGAGTTGAGGAGCCACTTGAGGCTGCGCCATCTGCAGCGGATTACCCTGTTTGGGCGCTAGCTTCAGCACTCAATCTTGGTGCTTCATTGAGTTAGTGGTTGGTTGCTTTTGCCACCAGTTCGTAAAGTGGTGACTGCCGGGGCAAGTGTATTATGCATTATCCGCTACGTGACAACTGACCGACCAGACAAAAAGGCGGGAACCCGGTAAAGGACCTTCTGGCACCACTTCAACCCCACACCGTAAAACCCCCCTTCTCAACGAGTCGGCCCATCGCAAGTCATTGGACCTCGACAGCACAACAGGGAAAAAAATAAATCGGCCAGCCACCTAGCTCCATCATCATCTGTCAATACACATTTGAGACACTCGACACTATCTGCTCGATCTTGTCTTTGCGCCAACGGATCGACGCTGCAGAGCACGCCATCCTGCCGACAGCGGCTCAGACATACTGGACTTAGCCACTTCGCCCTCCCCACTGTAGACAGCTTTCCGTCTGCGCATGTGCGCGCGCGCCCCCGCAGCTCCAGGTCCAGGTCCAGCTCCAGCACCAGCACCAGCAAACCAACCCATCACCGAGATTGCGTCCAGTCGCTTCTCGCAATCAACGACGGAGCTCATCGACTTTATTAAAGATAACAGTCTGATCCAAACACAATACGTCTGATAGCCGCCTTCGCCGTTTCTCTGCCTCTCAATCGACGGCAACAACCTGGTACAGCCCGGTGACCAGGCACAGCCATCCCGCCCAACACAGCCGACAGTCTTGCCCACCACGGCCATACTTCACTTCTATTCCATCCGATTTATATTCTGCCACGGTCCACTATACAGCTACAACTCTACCCAACCCGCCCATCATGTCGCGAACAAACATGCCCATGAGCATTGATGCCATGCTCGACATGGAGCGCGAGGAGGTTCTCGCTCTGCTCGAGAGTAAGAACTCGGGCAGTGCTGGAGACTCGATGCGATCGAGTTCCCCGTACGCCAATCCCCCTCGCTCTCCTGTCCGGAGTATGCTAGATGTCGGCGACGACGATGCCCCCTCCGCACATGGACGTACGAGCCCGGCGCCGCAACCTCCCGTACGAAGCATGCTCGACGTTGACTGCCCGCTCCCCCCTGCCCCGCCCATTCGCAGCATGCTCGACGTCGGAGGCCCTGCTGCCCTGCGACCCAGCTCCCAGACGCGAGCGCCTTATAACAGGAGCATGCCTAGTTCGCCAACCATGGCCACATCGTCGATTTACAAGGGCTCCTCGCAGCCTTCTGGCTCTAGACTGCATCCGCGAAGCTCTTCTGATGCCGCATTCAAGCCTGCAGAATTTGGGCCGAGAAAGTCGTTGGGAAGTAATGACCGCGTTTCAGAGTATCAGTTTTCCGGCATGCTGCCCAGCAGCGCCTCGGGTAACCTCCCAGGCAAGCGCCCATCACAGGGCAAACGCACCTCTGGTGGCAGCTCGCTGGTTGAAGCTCTGCGAGGTTACGATTTCAGCGGCCTCCAACTTCCGAGTCGTGCTAGAAACTCATCGGCAAGTCGTCCTGGATATCACCAGTCCAAGTCCCCTCACAGCCGCTGGACCGACCGATCCAAGTCACCTGCGCCACCCCGCGACCCCAATCAAGTTATGTTGGGTGACGGACGGATTGTGGACATGAACAACGCATATAGAAGACTCTCAGACGCCAATCTAGCCTTTTCCTCTGGCAGCCTCTCCCAGCTCCCAATGCGGAAACGATCCGACGATGCAGGAGCCGGGCGCCTGGTCAAGGACTATCTCGGCCCCGATGGTGAACACCTCGAATCCAGTGACGACGATGAGCAGGTGTCATCAGATGACGAGGATCGTGGCCGTAAGAAGGCTCCACGCTCCCTGAATCCTGATGCAAAGGGCGAAACCGACGACGAAGAGTCTCGCTCTGGCTCCGGTGGAAGCAAACGCGCCCCTCTGAGTTTACTCGCTGCGGCCGACGAGGACCGCTCCAACATTGCATCGAAGCAAAGTTACCAATATAGATCTCTGTTGGAGCCGGAAATCAAGGTTACCAACACGTCTGGGGAGACAGTCAAGGCTAGCAAGGCGGGCGTGCACCCTCACACCAGCTACGATCACAACCCGAACTCGGCAACGCAGTCCGTGATAGATTCGGACGAGGAGGCGGACGTGGACGACATTAAGCGAGCACAGAAGCTGTCATTCACCATGACTAATGTTCTACACAACGCCGAGGCGCATAGATCCATTCGCATCATCTACCGTGGTGAGTACCACAAGATTGCACAGACTGCTGAGGATGAACACCGCCGAATGCGCAAGTACCTAGTGGCGACGGATTTGAGCGACGAGTCGACGCACGCGCTGGAGTGGGCGATTGGAACGGTGATTCGCGACGGCGACACGCTGATTGCGATTTACTGCGTGGACGAGGAGACGGGGGTGACGGGCGAGGGGTCTCAAGTGCCCGATGACGCGGCGGCGATGAAGGAGCAGGCAGCGGCCATCAACACGGTGGCCAACACACGAATGACGCCGGCGCCACTCAGCCCGGTGACGGAGTTTAGGAAGCTGCACCGGCGCGACGACTCATCGGGTACGACTGGCAGCTCGCCAGCGCCGGTGGCGCGCGGGGATCGGACCAAGACGGAGGAGGAGCGGGAGCGGGCGATTCAGGGCATGACGGAGAAGATTTTGCGGTTGCTCCGCAAGACGAAGTTGCAGGTGCGGGTGATTGTCGAGGTGTTGCACTGCAAGAACCCGCGGCACCTGATTACCGAGGTGATTGACCTGGTGAATCCGACGCTTGTGGTGATAGGCAGCCGCGGCAGAAGTGCACTCAAAGGGTGAGTCTTTTTTTGTTTTGTTTTACGTTTTCCCTCGCATTTGTTCCGCTAACATGGATGGCAGTGTCATCTTGGGTTCGTTTTCCAACTATTTGGTGACCAAGAGCTCGGTACCCGTCATGGTTGCTAGAAAACGACTACGCAAACAGAGCAAGTATAAGCAAAAAGCGATTCGGCAGGTCAACAACCTGAGCAACCCGGCAGCACGAAGCCTCGCAAGCGCCAAGATTGACTAGTACAAATCTTATGTGAAGCGTCGCGACTGAAAGGTGTGGTGATTTGGAAGACGTGTTACCTTTTTGGAGTTTTTTTTCCTTTGGTTCTTTTTGGTGTGGATGGTCTTGTCTTGTCTTGGCGTTGTATTTTATCCTATTCTTGGTGTTGCATCTTGCGTCAGCGTGTGAGAAGTGAACAGCTGGTAGACTGCTTGGAGGATACGTCTTTTGGCAAGTAATTCGAGTATGGCAATGCGCCGGGTCCACAAGGTTGGAAACGCTGGGATGGAGGCTTTGTTATTTTTTGATATCTTCTTGGGCATCCTTTTTTTGTTTTTATCTTGTTGCCTAGCGATTGAAGAAGTTATTGAGATTCCTTTCCATGCGCTTCAATTGTAGATGAGTGGGAATAAAGTATGCAAGTGATTCGTTATCGTGGGGTTACCGGCATAGCGGAAGGAGGAAGAATAAAACAGCGTGACGGTGAAAAACTATGGTGAGGGTGTGTATGTACGAGTTGGCCGCTCGATCTGCGGCCCGGTGGTGTCATGTCAAGGTCAGTCGTCGTCGTCGGGTCAAAGAGGTCGTGGCCAGCGAGGCCAGGGTGACACTCGGTGCGACTTGGCCAAGTCTATTTACCTCGTTCCAAAACGGGAGCTTTTCCTTGCGTAAACGGCGAGGCTCTGAGGAATGCGCAATCTATGAATAGAATATTGATTTGAATTTTTCTTCTTGCCAAGTTTTTTTCTCTTCGCACAAGTGCGAAGCGCTTTGTGTTGGCTGGCATGGGTGGCCGGCTGGTCGAGGCATCAACCCCCATCTGAGACGATGGCGCGCCACCATGGCGCTTTTGATTGGCTGGGAGAGCGCTCAAGCGGGGCAACGGCTTTAGTGGGTACCCGTCGAGCGGGCAAAAGTGGAGAATGGGCCATGGCTTGATTCCCAACCTCGTCCATTTTCACCACTGACCAGTCATTCAAGTTGGACTGGGCGGTCCTGGGGTACGTCGTGGTGAATTCTTTCTTTTTTTTTCTTTTTTTTTTTTACTTCTCTTGCCCTATCGTTAACGCTATCAAGAGCACTCGCTACTCAGCCCTTGTCGGAAACAGCGCCCCTCCCCCCCCCCAGCCTTGAACGGTGATTTTAACCTGGGTGTGAACCGTTGTGATATCGGCCTGCTGCCCAAAGCTTGACTTGTTCTATTTTCCCTTTCAACGGATAACAGTTATCCGTACTGTTTATATCCGCACAGACAGCGCCGAAATCGTTATCCGTCTCGGCCGGGGGGTTCCGAGTCCTCGTCGCACCCACTCACAACGCCGAACCATCCAAACAGCACACCCCTCCTTCTCCTCGCCTCATACGGAGAGAGAGCCAGCCGCCCATCACAGACCACGACACACGCCCCCCCTCCTCATCCCTCTATTTGCCGCCCTCTCCTCTCCCTCTTCCTCTCTCTCTCCCCCCCTCACGAAAGATTATGCAGTCACTCTTCTCCGTCACAAACAACGTCTCCCTCATCACCGTCAACGTCAGCCCCGGCACTTTTCTCGCAGTCATCGCCTTGCTGCTCTGCTTCCTCAGCCTCTACGTCCCCGTTGTCCCGCATATACGCCTCCCCCGTGTGTCACTCCCGCGCATCCTCCTGCCGTCGCACGGCAGCGAATCATCAGCATCATCGGCACTGATACGCAGTGCGCCGCCCTCGTCCTCGGTTGCCGTTGCGACCACGACTGGTCGTCGACAGCCCAAGCCGCTCCAAAAGGCCCTGCCTGCGCTGCCGGCACCACCACCGCCGCCGCTTGGTGCGCTGCGTGAGCAGCTGACGCACTCGCGCCCACTTGCGATCCTCTCTTCCTACTGGAGTGGCGGCCGTCATCGCGAAACAGCCCCTCCTCCTCCAACACCGCCCAAACATGGCCCCGACACGTTCCCCGCCGCCGCCGCCGCTGCACAGCACAGTAGCTGGCGCAGCAGCCGCCGCCGACCAACATCACCTGGACGCGTCTCTGCAAGACTTCGAACCACCCGCCAGTCCCATGACGGAAGCCACCACATCGACCCGCCAGTCCTCGGTTCTGCCCAGCACCGAACCCGCGACGGACGAGGACGACGAGGACCGACTGCCGCCAGCGTCGCCGTCGAACCTCGGCGCGGACTCGGAGGCGGACTCCGCCGCTGGTGGCTACTCACCACCGGCGTGGCGGAGGCTCGACAACGGCGACCGCAGCAGCGGCTTCTGGAGGCTCCCGCCTGACGGTGTCGTCACCGCCGCTCAACGACGGCTGCTGCTGCATCCTCGCGGGTTTTCACCAGTTTCTGACAACAACAACGACAACAACGACGACGACAACGACAACGACAACGACGACAACGACAACGACGACAGCGACACCGAGAGCATCTCCGATATCAGTAGCATCCTGCAGCGCGCAATACGGACGAGGCTGCCCGCCGGGAGCCAGAGTCCGGAGAAGATGCGCTCACCAAGCCCGCAAGCCCGAGGCGACGACGACACCACCAACAAGTTGGAGCCACCCGCGCCCGCCCTCGTCACCGTCGCACCACCACGCGAAGCGCCCTCTGAAAACTGCAAGTCTTGGGACTCATCTTCTCTACACCCCGCCCCCGGCTGCTAACTGATCTTGCCAGATATCCGCTTCGCCGTCCGCGCCGAAGTCCAGCAGCGCACCGAGCCCATCGAAGCCGCTCTCCTCTTTGTGCGCACGCGCTACCAAGCCGCCACCTCGTCCTGGCGTGTCATCTTCACCAACGCGACCATTGCCCTGCTCAGCGCGCTCTTCATCAAGTTCCTGCTGCAGCCCGTCGCCTCGCGGCCGGCCGGCGACCTGGTCAAGGTCGCCGGTGTCGCGCGCTCCTTTGAGCCCCTCATCTACTACTCGGAGCACGCCGTCGCGCAGGTGCACGATTTGCAAGCGACGAGCGTCGCCGTCTGGGACCTGGGCGAGAGCGTGCGCACGAGCGACATGCGCGACGCGGCGAGCATCATCCACGACCTAGACGCTCTCAGCGACACGATGCGCACGCTGTCGGTGGAAATGACCAAGTTCTTCGCCAGAGTGGATGGGGATGTGGATGGCATCTTGAATGTCATGGACTGGGCGCGCATGCACCTTGATCGTCTCCGCGCCGCGCCGCCGGCGTCGACCTTGGCCGCGGCGTACGACAACATGCACAACCTGCTCTCGCACGTGCGCGTGCTCGAAGACGACCAGGGCAGGCCCACATCCCTCGGCACCATCGCCACCTCCATCTTTGGCCTATCCAATCCCCAGCGCGAGCAGCGCCTCATCCAGCTGCTCTTCACCGAGTTCCTGACGGTCCTCGAGGAAAGCATCGGCTCCGAGCTGCAGCACAGCGTCACCCTCTTTGCCCTGTTCGAGGCCGTCGACCGGCACTTTCTCAACCTCGCGCGCGCCGTCGGCCGCGAGGCCTCGGCCCAGGAGGCCCTGCGCGCAGACGCCCTCGCCGGCCTGTGGGTGCGGCTGCTGGGCGCGCACGCCTCGACGCTGCGCAAGTTTGGACGCAACCGCGAATTGCTCCGCGACATCCGCGACAAGACGGTCCGCAACAAGCGCGTCCTCGTCGAGCACCACGGCCGCCTGCTCACCCTCCAGGCCTCGCTCGAGCGCCTGCGCGGCCGCCTCGTGTCCCCCCTCGTCCGCGGCGCCAACGCCTCCACCACCCTCCTCTCCCTCGAGGACCAAGTCACCGGCATCGCCTCCGTCAGCGAGTACCTCGCCGGCTTGCGCAGACACCAAAAGGGCAAGGTCATGGCGAATCTCTTTTCGACCCAGCCGGGCCAGAGGATCCCCCTCGTCGGCGCCGAGCAACCGCCCCGCGTCGGCGGCTTCGATGCCAGTGGCAACACGGTGTAAAAAAAAAAGGAAAGAAATTCGTCCACTTGGGTGTTGAAGAGAAGAAGAAGAAAAAACGTCAAACACAGTGGCCTGGCTTTTTTGAAACTTCACACACGTCGTCTTCTTTCTTGTTTATTATTCGATGTGCACTTTTGTCGCCCCCTGTGTACGAGGGAGGATTGGAATGGGTCGCTTGGATACGGTCATTTGCGGGATTTGGAAAAATAACATGTTGACAATGCTGTTTGTTGAGCTTGACGGATTGGCCATCTCTTTGGGAGGGAGTTTTCGGTGCAACCGGTGGCCAGGAGGCTTGAAATTGGTATACTATACTCTTAGAATTGTTTGTCCCTGTATTTTGTTAGCGAGTAGGTAGCATTCAATTTTACATTACTAGTTACGAAACATGCCGTGTCAAATGAAAGTGCAGTGTTTCAATAATGCAAGTATTCAGGTCGCCAGGCGAGTAAAGCAAATGACCAGCATCATAGTATTTTTAACATTTTTATTAAAGTCGTATCATAATAAGTCTCCATCTTTGCCTGGCAAAATTCTTGCGGACTACTCGAGGGGTATCTGTGTCCGCAGCAATTCTTTCAAACAATCTCGGGCTCCCCTAACCCTTGTGAGGGCGTCACAGCAGCCTCTCAACTTTTTCCTCCCGATTCTCGCCATCCGGTTTTTGGACCCAAACCGTCTTGCAACCGCAACTTTTGTTTTGTGCGCCGTGCCTGACAAGAAATAGCAAGTCCAACTATACAAATATAACCCTGTAGACAGTCTTTATGAGATAGCAGATATTCTGTACCGCCAATACTCATACAAATATGCCAATACAAGGTTACATAATGAAGAAAGCCCGTAAGTAAAAAGCCCATAAGTAAACTGACGTAACAAAGAAAATCAATTAAATTCAGGGCGAGCTGCTCGCGCGTGAGCCTCGCACTCCCTAAATTTGGACGAAACATTCGAGCTTAGGCCTTGGTCTCCTCCTCCTTCTTCTCATCACCGTCCTGGGTCTTGACATACTCGTCGTAGACGGCAAGGGCTTCGTCGACCTTGGACTTGAGAGCGGCGTCATCCTCGATCAAGTTAATGAGTTCGGAATTGTCCATCTCAAGAAGCATACCGGTGATCTTGCCAGCAAGCTCGCCGTTAATGGCCTGGATCTTGGGGAAGATCATCTCGCCAAGCATCTGCTTCTGCTGAGCAGGCGGAGCGCCGGAAATCTGAGTCTGCAGAGCGGAACCGTTATCGCTGGCGCGGACAGGCTGGATGTTGGCACTATTGACATTGTTGGTGTTGTTGCCAGCGCGGTTGCCACCACGGCCCATGGCCTGGCGGTTGTTAGGAGGGAAGCCAGGAACAGCATTAGGAGGCATGCCAGCGTTTCCACGGCCGCCTTGGGGACCACCACGACCACCACCGAGGGCCGCCTGCTGCATAGCAGCCATGAACTGCGGAGTCCCGGGCTGACCAAACTGAGGAGGGAATTGGTTGGGCATGTTGTACATGTTGGGGGGGATCTGCTGGGGACCACCGCGGCCACCCTGCTGGGGGTAGCCGGGGAACTGGCCAGGACGGACACCGGTCATGCCCATACCGGGCTGGGGGAAGGGGATACCACGACCGCCCTGGGGAACGAAGCCGGGTTGCTGACCAGCGTAGAAGACAGGGGGCTGCATGAACGGCTGAGACATACCAGCGGCGGCGGCAGCCTGCTGCATGCGCATCTGGTTGCGAGCCTGGATACTAGCCTCAAGCTGGCTCTTGCGGACATCCTTGCGCTGGGCAAGGGCGACGTAGAGGGGCTTTCCGTTGATCATGCGCTGGTTCATCTCAGCGACGGCCTTGGTGGCATCGTCGGGGTTGCTGAAGCAGACGAAACCGAAGCCCTTGCTCTTACCGAGCTTCTTGGATCCCTTCCTTTCCTTCTTCTCCTTGTCGCTGTTCTCCTCCTCAGCGGCCTCGGCGGCCTCGGCTTCGGCGTCGGCCTTCTTGTTCTCCTTGTCCTTATCCTCAGCCTCGGCCTCCTTGCCTTCTTCGTCCTCGTCGTCAGAGGGGCTGTCTCTCATGACCTTCGCAGATGTGATGGGGCCAAACTCAGTGAACATGGTACGAAGCTTCTCGTCATCAACGTCGTCATCGAGGTTCTTGATGTACAGGTTTACACCTTGGTACTTGCTGGCCTTTTCGATGCGGGCAGCCTCATAGGACTTGCGGAGCTCCTCCTCGCGCTCGTGCTTCTTCTGGGCGCGGCCGACATAGAGTTCCTGGCCGTGGAAGTCCTTGTTGTTGAGTTCTTCAACAGCCGCGGAGGCGGCCTCGTGGGTAGTAAAGTTGACAAAACCGAAACCGCGGCTCTTGCCATCCGGGTCGCGGGCAATGGAGGAAGAGGTAACGTCACCGTGGGCCTCAAAGAGCACACGGAACTGGTCGTCGGTGACGTCGGGGGCGATGTTCTTGATGTAAACGTTGGTGAAGTTGGCCTTCATCTCCTCAAACTTGGACTGGCGGTCCTTCTTGGGAATGTGGTGGCCGACGTAGACCTTCTTCTCGTTGAGAAGCATGCCGTTGACATGCTTGATGGCCTGCTGAGCAGCCTCGTCAGTCTCGTAATGAACGAAGCCGTATCCCTTGGAGCTTCCGGTCTCATCCTGGGCGACCTTGCAGGAGAGGATGTTACCAAAGGCGGCAAAGGTGTCGTGGAGGGCCTTGTTGTCAATGGCAACGTCGAGGTTCTTGATGAAGACGTTGCCCTGACCAGTCTTGCGGAGGGCGGGATCACGCTGAGACCACATAATGCGGCAGGGACGGCCCTTGATCAGAGTGTAGTTGAGCTCTTCGAGAGCCTTCTCGCCATCAGGAGTCGAGTTGTAGTTGACGTAGGCGTAGCCGAGGGAGCGGCGGGTGACGGCATCACGGCAAACACGGATGGAAGCAACGGCGCCAATCTGAGAGAAGAGCTCGAACAGCATAGCCTCGGTGACAGAGGGGTCGAGCTCGCCAACGTAGAGGGAGGCTGAGTTCTGGGGGTGGGGAGCGGCCGAGTTGGGGGTAGGGCCAGCATCGTCACCGGTGGCAGCGGAGACGGAGGTGTCGACGGAGGGCTTGCCATCGATGGAGGTGTTGTTGAGGTCGGCGGTAAGCTGATCAACAGCAGCAGAGTTGTTTACGGCGGCCATATTGTCGTGTTGAGTGAACAAGTCGACGAAACTTGGCGAGGTTAGCAAACAAGGCGGCGTGGGAGAGCAAGGGCGCAAGAACGGAGCACGGCTTACGCGTTGGTGGAATAGTGAAGGGTTAAACCGGCAACGAATCAGACTGGCTGTAACGAGGCTGGTATAAGAACAAACACAAAAGTCTTTGAGGGAGAGGCTCAAAGAAAGATGGCGTTTGGAGTTGGAGAGTCGACCTGGTTATCTCACGAGACGAGAGGCGGGGGACCTGGGGGGTTTTCTGGAGGGTTTTCAATTTTTTTTGTAAGTTTTCTTGATTGAGTACAAGAGGAGGGACAGAGAATTAGTGCTAGGACTATTCCTCTGAACTAACTCGTCTCGAGAAGTTTGGGGGGGTTTATGATAGGATTTTGGGTGGTGTGTGGGAGAGAGAAAAGAGAAAAAGCGAAATTTGGCCAGGTGATATTTTTTCCTGGCTTGACCGACTCTGGTGGAGTGCCCTTGCCTCCCACAAGCCACGCCAAAAAAAAAGGTTTGCGCGCCAGTAAAGTTGAAAGAAGTGGGTGGCGCGCCAGGCACGGGAGAGGACAGTGCGTATTCTACAGTGTTTATGAATCTTACACAGTATGATCTCCGGGGCTCCGTGTCGTGGAGACTTGGATGGCCAACAAACGGTACTCGGCAATTGGCTGGGGCTTGGACAGTGGGCGAGTACCTTGCGGGTAGACCATGGTACTGTATACTTGGTTGTTGGTGCCGATGGGAGGAATTCAGGACAAGGACACAAGGACACAAGGACTCTATTCCAAACAAAGTGATATGTTCTGTATCGCTCCTGAACTGCCTCTTCTGTTGCTCCCTCCACTTGTCTTGTCGCTGTATTTATCTGTGACGCAGGCGCTTGTGCTCATGCTCATGCACGTCACTTGGCACAGTGCGCATCTCGCAAGCAGGGGTCTTTATTAGTCTGGGGCATTTTGAAATGAAAAAGATACGTAGAGCCATGCTATCATCCTCCACGTTCCCTAAGACGGGTAGAAATAAAGAAATCAACTTATGCGGATTGGCCACTGGAACGACCATACCACGTGAGCTTGCAACTGATAAACACAAAGGGAAACCAAGGTAATATATATATATATATTGGACTGAACCCTACTGGCTAGCTACCGAGTGGCGGCATAACCGACGCGGTTTCACCAGCTTGGATTGGAAATGAGGCCGAAGACGTAACTGATGATGTGAGCATCTGGTGTTGGGGTGGAAGCTGACAGCAGAAAATGGAACAAGCTGTCGGTCGCACTTGGCAGTTCCGGGTAGGTACCTAGGTACCTAACTACCTAGTACAAATTACTTACTTGTATTTTGAGGCAAGTTGGATGACAAACTGCTTTGAATGCTCGACCGCCAGCATAGCTCTCCAAATGATAGAGAAAAATATATCGACTAAATGAAAAAGGGAATTAGAGTACTAGAATTAAATCAAGGAAACCAATAGCCATACTCAGAGGGACAATTCATTGCCCCTGCACCGAGCCTCATCACACATTACTGCTCCCGTCATCGCCCCACCACAGCTTTCTGCCTCATGAGCTGTCCAGCCAACTCCAACCTTTGCACCCTTCGTTCAATCTCAACAAGTGCAGGGCAGTATACATACGCACCTATCGCCAGCCCTCTTCGCCTAGAAGCCTTGAGGGCACCACCACAGCCACCCCCGTCGCCGTCCTTGCGTCGTCAGCCGGCCATGTTTCCAACCTTCACGGGCAACTCTAGGCGCCCGCGAAACGTCAACCTCAGTGGCAGCGTCGGAAATCCCTTTGCCAACACCTCCTGGAGCCCTTCCAACGTATCCGGCACTGCAAAGACTATATTCGACGCCCAGGCCGATCGAGAGAAGCGCCAGGCCGAAAGACAGCGCCTCAAGGCTGCCTTGCGAATCCAACAAACATGGCGGGGTCACAGAGCACGTTCCCGCCTTGCCGACCACCGTCGTGCCGCATTCGACAACTTGTACGCCTCTCCTGCCGACACCGACTGGCTTCATCAAGCATTCACCCTATTGCTCTCGTTCTGCAGACCAGCGCGGCCCGATGACCTCGAACGCTTACTACGGTTTGCCAACGACGCCGTCAACGTCGAGTTCGGCAACTTTTGTCCCCAGCAAACGCACTGGACTCGCCTGCGCCGGTTGGTCGAAATTATAGTCTCTGCCTTGCATTCTGCTTCAAAAAGGGGGTATGGTACCATTTTCATCTCTGTTTGCCTCCTTGATTGTTCTAACCAGCCACCTAGCACTCTGTCCGACGAGCTCCGCGTTCTTCTCCGTCTCGCTACTCGAATAGTAGAATCCATTCCTGAAGCCCTGAGAACCTCTTCAGAGGTCTACTTCTCTACTTTGGCCAGTATCTGCCAACAAGTAGAGGGTGTGGGCTGGCTGGAAGACGTCTTCAAAAGTCTATCCATCGCTCTTGATGTAGACGCCATCGGTACGCTCCCCACCATGCCTCCTTCAACAACCTTATCTATCAATCGCATCACTAAATCCATCATTGTACAGTGTACATGTACTTTGCTTCCAATTTCTTAACCAAAGAAAATATTACCCTCTTCGAGACCAACATCGACCGCTTCGCCTCTCTCATCGATTTCACCCGGCTCGGACATGGGATCAGATCCATTTACGCCTTGAATCAACCCATCTCTAGCACCCAAGATGAATTGCTGTGGCTCCTTGCCCACTCTATTCATCTCATCAGAACTCAGATACACACAACCGCTGTCATTGGCCCAATTCGCGTCATATTCCTTCAGCTCGCTGGTCTTTCATCCGATTTCAGCGCTCGCGTGACACCCAAAGCCCTGTCAACCGGATCAGGGGATTTTTCCGACAGCACACAGCAATCTAGCATCCATCCATACCTTTCCCGTCAGTTTCTATGGCTCATCAGCAGCGAAAGCACCTCGAAAATCTTGCAAGATTTTACAACCACAACCACCCAACCAAGCGTCGATGCACTCGAGAGCACCAGCTTGCTGGCAGGCTATCTGATGACGCTCCTGCAAAGCTTCCCCGACAATGCTGACGACGTACGCATGAGGCTATTTTTGGAACAAGTAACTACTCAATCGGGACCTATGCCAACAGTCAAATTTCTATGGCAGATGGTCCAAAAAACCACTATATACCAGTCTCTGCGAGAAGATTCCGAGCAAACACTTGCCATTTTGCAGCGCTATCTCCGGGTGTACCATCAAAGCGTGGATACTGTCGAGGATCAAGAATGGCGCGTAATTATTCTCTTCCTCGATCTATACACGTTCATTTTACGACTGAGTGACGACGAAGACTTCTTTAGCGGCATCTATCCGTCTCCATTACGCAACGACTCTTCGCTTTCCCGCATACAGTCTTGCAGTTTATCGTTTGAGGATGTTAAATTCCTCACGCTTTTCCTCAAAAATATCGCCTTTACGCTGTATTATACAGCCCCCGAGGTATCTCCAGCCCAGCAGGAGCCTCAGCATGTGGTGCAGTCTCGGCTTGGCTCATACCTTGGGGCCGGTTCGTCAAAGGAGCCCGAGCCAAATCCTGCCACCGCTTTGAAGCTCAAATCTAGCAAGTTGGAGTTTTTCAGCCTTCGCGAGATAATCTCAAATGCCATGACTATGCTTTACGAAAGAGACTCTCGCAAGCCTTTCCTTCCTAGTGGTCACTGGCTCGTTACAGATAGGCTGCAGAACGAAGACTTTGTTTCTGCTGTCATCGCGGAGGAGCAGCGTCAATACGATGAAGTTTCGTCCGATAGTGACGACGACGCTGACATGGAGGATGAAGATGATTTTTCAGTCAACCACACATTTGCGGGTCAGCGAGTTTCAAGACATGCACGAGTGGAGAGGTTGCGCGCAAAACAGAAGCGCCTACAGCGAGAACGTCGGCTGGCAGAGCTCGGTCCAAAGCTAGCAGTTTTGAAGCATATGCCGTTTGCTGTCCCCTTTGACACTCGCGTCAAGATCTTTCGGCAATTTATTGAACTTGACATTGGCCGAAGGGATAACCCTATATCGACCTTCCCTGTATTTGCAAAGCACACAGCGCAGATCCGTCGAGGCCAACTCTTTGAAGATGCCTTTGAGGAGCTGTACAAAGTCGGCGATGGTTTGAAGGATCCAATCCAAATCACCTTTGTTGACCAGTTCAATCAGACTGAAGCCGGAATTGACGGTGGCGGTGTCACGAAAGAGTTCTTGACCAGCGTTATATCTGAAGCCTTTGGTGGCAATGAAGGTATGATAAGCATGTTCACGTCAAGCCCATCCGGGCTTCTCTACCCGAACCCGATTGCTATCGACACGACAAAAGAAATGATGAGAGAAGGGAAGCTCGACGAATCAAGTCGTGAGTGGCACCGAATCATTCGTGAGCAGCTCAAACGATACGAATTTTTGGGTCGGATGCTGGGAAAATGCATATATGAGGGCATCCTCGTGGATTTGAGCTTTGCTGGCTTCTTTCTCCTGCAATGGCCCTCTTCTGGGTCAGACGAGAAGAATCACTACAAGGGTAGCATCAACGACCTGCGGGACATGGACGAGGAGCTGTACGCTGGCATGCTGCGCCTCAAAAATCATCCTGGTGATGTTTCAGAGCTTGGCATCGACTTTACAGTAACGGATCAAGTCTCCATGCCGGGTGCGCCGATAAAGACGGTGACAAAGCTGCTGGTGGCCAACGGTGACCAAGTATATGTGACCAACGACAATAGACCGCTGTACATGTCGTACATGGCTCGCCATCGCCTGGTTGTGCAGCCTGCGCTGCAGACGGCTGCTTTCCTGCACGGTCTCCGCTCCATCATCCGACCGTCGTGGCTGTCCATGTTCAACCAGACGGAGCTGCAGCATCTTGTCGGTGGCGACTCGTCCGAGATTGACATTGACGATCTTCGGCGCAACACGGTGTGCAGCGGTCTATACGAGATGGGTGACGATAAGAAGGAGCATCCGACCATCAGGATGTTCTGGAAGGTGCTGCGCAGCTTTACCGACGCCCAGCGCCGCGACCTACTCAAGTACGTCAGCTCCACGCCCCGCGCGCCACTGCTCGGCTTCTCCCAGCTGCGGCCGCTCTTTAGTATCCGCGACGCGGGGGACGACGAGGAACGACTGCCGAGCGCGAGCACCTGTGTCAACCTACTTAAGCTGCCTCGATACAGAAGGGAGGAAACGCTGCGGTCGAAGCTCCTGTACGCCATCACATCCGGTGCAGGGTTTGATTTGAGTTAACAGCGGAGCAAGGCATATGTGTACCTTTGTATATAGATTGCATTATCGGAGTATAGGGTTGTATTCAAATTGCGTGAATAAACATCAACTTGAGCGTCTTATTTCTTGCATCTCTTGTATTACCTTGTTGATTCCCTTTGTTTTCCTGTCGGTTTCGCTATTGAAAGCTCCGCTCCAGAAGCTGGGGTTTTCTGTCGGAGAGATCAATGAGCATCTGACCGAAGAGGCCGTTAGCCCAGGCGAACCTGTTGAGCAAAACGATTAGCATGTCATATCTTAGGGGAGGAGGAGAGAACGTGCCACGAGCGACTCCAGTTTGTGTCGTCAAAGGTATTGACGGACTCGTGAATCAAACCCAGGCCGCTGGTGGCGCCCATGAGCGTCCGCAGGCCGCTGACAATCTCGTCGTCATCATCGCTCGTCATGATGCGCATGATGACGCCCATCGGCCAGGCCATGCCGGGTCCGAGGTGCGGACCGCCCGTCGAGTTGATGACGGGCCCGGTGCTAAAGTACGGGTTGGAGCGGCTGAGGACAAAGTCGCGGGTGCGCTTATAGATGCTGTTGCTGTTGTCCTCGTACCCGAGATGAGGAATGCTGAGCAAAGAGGGGATGTTGGCGTCGTCCTATCACAACGCAGTGTAAGTCGCTGCAACACCCAACATGTATTTTTGACACAATAGATTCGGACCAGGACCGTCTGCTCACCATGAAATTGACGGACCCGAAGCCGTCGACCTCGTAGGCGTACACCTCGCCGTACTTGGGGTGCGCGACGACAGCGTACTCGTCAATGGCGCGGCGGATGCCGGCGGCCATGTCCTCCATGTCCCTCGCCAGCGCGGGGTCGAGGGCGCGCATGATGACGGCGCAGCTGCGCAGCCCCTGGGCGAACATCATGTTGGCGGGCACAAAGTACTGGAGCGTGGTGGCGTCGTCGGACGGGCGGAAGAAGCTGCGGACCATGCCGATGCGGTCGGCGACGGGGCTGCCGGCGCCGCGGTTGGCGACGACCTCGGTGGCGGTGTCGGCGTCGCGGCGCCACGTGTACGGCGACGGCTGGACGCGGCCGTCGGCGGCGTACGTGCCGGCCATGAGCGCGCGCGCCGTGTCGAGCAGCACCGCCACCGTCTGCCGCCACGAGAAGCGCCCGAAGAAGGCGGCGTCCCCCGTGGCGTCGTGGTAGTCGTGCGAGAGCTGCAGAAAGGCGGCGAGCGAGTCGAGCTCGTACTTGCACTCCCACACGGCGTTGGGGTCGTACGGCGGCGAGACGGTGTCGCCCCGCCGGAGGAGGAGCGTGCTGCTGCGCTTGCGGTGGTGGACGGGCGGGATGAGCGACTCGGCCGGCGGCTGGAAGGCGTTGCAGTAGGGGTTCTTGCGCAGGTACCGGCCTTGGAGGTTGATGGCGCCGCGGAAGAGCGCGGCGATGGAGTGGGTGGTGTTGTTGCCGCTGCTGCCGCCGGTGGTGGCGTTGAGGATGGGCTTGTAGGATTGCAGCTGGTTGGCGCTGTCGCGTAGCCACATGGCGTTGATGTCGCCCGTGATGACAAAAGCAAGCTTTCCGCCCCCGACATTGGTGTCAGTCATCCAGCCCAAAAAAAAACATGATAGGTTAGATACCCCATTGGGCGGGATGGCTTTTTACCTCTTCGTCGGGGTTCTCGGCCGACACCCCGTGCCACAGCACCGTCGTGTCCACCGTGTTGGGCCAGGTGTTGACGAAGAGCCGGTACAGGTCCGGGTCGCGCACCTTGGCCTTCATGTCGGCGAGGACGCGCTCGACCTCGGGCACGGCGTACGAGCGGCACGCCTCGGCGGGCCGCTGGTAGGGAAACTTGTACTTGCCGCACGAAAACGGCTCGTGGCGCTGGCGGGCGTACTGCTCGTAGGCCGGGCAGTCGGCGGCGGTGCCGAGAGAGGCCAGGGCGGCCAGTACCAGGCTATACTTCATGTTCTTTTTTCTACTTGCCTCTTTTTTGCCGGTTCACGACTTCTTCCAGTTGGGCTCAGGGTTAGAGATTGCGTAGGGTTACCGCTACGAGAGGGGGAAGAAAGAGAAGTGGCTGGGGAGCAAAGACGAACGAGAATATGCATGTCTCTTTTACATCTGAAGTTGCAGCGGCATGTAGCACGAGTGAGGGGGAAGAGTACTGACGACGGGGTGCGGAGAAGTATGCAGCTCTAGCCATGCAACCAGAGTCAAGGTACTCCCATCAATGAAAGGATGCCAGCTTTACAGCAGGCAGGCGTATCCAATCGGGAAGGTGAAATCACTTACCACTGGCACTGCGATTCCAGCATTATGGATTCGGTTTGGGGTGTAATAAGGACCCATGCTAGTGTCTGTCTTGTGCGGTTTCTCAACGCCGGCTTTTGGTTGTCGTCTTGTTGGACGCGGGACAAAAAGTACGACTAACGAATTAAAAACACGCCAAGAAACCCCATCTCTGCACGAGCTCGGTGTATCTCTCGATTAGTGCCGACGCCACCCCAAGCCATTCGCGGGGAAGGGCAGACGGATCGCCACCACAAAGAATGGCACAAAGTGGTCCAGTCCGCCTGTCAAGGCACTGAGACATGGGCCGAAATGCCAGTCAACATGACCTCGTGATACCGGGTGTTTAGGCCCTGGGAGGAGCCCTCATGACCGGTTTTCTTTGGATGCAACACTATGCTGGTGCTTGCTGGGCGGGGGTCGCCGGCGGCTCAGGCTGGAATTTGGATGATGAGAGTGAGAGTGAGAAGCGATTATTTACGAGGGACTCGGTTCTGAGTCGACTTACACAGTTCGTCGCAGTGCTGGGGTTACTGTACCCTCTCTAATCTCAACCGCCCGCAGACAGAAAACGTTATTCCCGTCAAGGACACGCCACCATTTTTGAATTGAACGAACCCGTGAAGGGCGAGGAACTTTGTTTGTGCGGGGGAGGCCAACATAGCCCATCGCCCAGCATTGTCTCCGGGCAAGCCACCAAGCCACCAAGCCCCGTGGAGAATATCCCGTGGGGGTGCAAGAGCCCTGTCAGTCTTTCACAATTACGCGCCTTTTCGACCTGGTCATCATGGTATAAATAGTACGTATGTAGTTCATAGTAGTGTGTCTCGTCGTCGGCGGTAATCCAACCGATCCTGGCTGTGAAGCTTGGCCTGTAGTTCATTGTATGGCTGCAACGGACCCTGGGCGCAAACTACAGTTTCCCTTTTGGTATTCGCTGTCGGTAGAAGAAAACAGCCACCTTGAACCACCGTGTGTGCGACGCTCCTTGAGGGAGGATGAGTTGGCTCAACCACTCGTTGGCCCCCTGTTCCCCCATCATCATCATCCTTCGCCTCCTCCCTAGGCCCGTTTAGGGTCCATGTACGGATACTTTGTATGCCAAGGATCAAATCATCCGAACCACGTCCAGCACAACACCCCTCCACGCCTGCAAACCTGGGACAACCTCATGCGGGCAAGGGCTAGCAGCTGGCGCGCCCGGCCGGAAATGGCAATTCGAACGGTAACAGTAAAAAGTAAAAAAAAAAAAAAAAAGGATACAATACATGAGATAGTAACTCTTCGTCCCCCCCACGTATAACTAGACGAGCCGCCGCTCTCGGTCACTTCCCCCAACTCCAACCTTGATGCTAAAAGTGCTGCGTTTTCCCCGCCTTTTCTCCCGACTGCCATTGAAGCTGAAATGACGGGTACAGGCAGCTCCCCAGAAATTACGGATCCCATCGCCGGGTCCGGCCCGCAGCCGCCTGCGCCGCCGGCGTCCACCACGGAGAAGCAAGCGGCGGCGGCGGCGGCGGCCGGGGAGCATGTCGAGGACGCGCCCCCCAGCAGCAGCGATCATGGCTCGGCGCCGGACCTGCACAAAAAGGGCGCTCTCGGATTCATCCAGCAGCAGCACACCATCCCCACGACGGGCCGAGTGATGCCGACGGGAAAGTGGGAGTATATATTCTTCTGCATCTACTGTACGTCAACTAACAAACAGGTTGAACATGACGAGCCGCTGCCAACTAACGATACTGCGACAGACTTTTCCAACAACGGTGCCCGTAAGTACATGGCAACGTCTGAAGTTGTGCTCGAATGTCGTAAATACAGGTCCAGTGCGACTTATCAGGGTGTATTCTAGCCATTGGCGGTAATGGCGGCGCGTTGCGACAGGCTCTCACGGCTCAGGCCTTTCCTGACAGAATCGTCCACTGGGGTGGCCAGAGTCTCAATAGCAAGTTGCCCTCCAAGATTTCCGAGGCAGAATTTTCGCTGCTTGGAGGCGTCCATCTAATGCAGGAACAGTGAATTCCTTCCTCCTGGACATTACGGGCATTCTTTTTGCCGCGCAGCTCGTCACTCTGCTGACCGTTGGCCCCTACGCCGATTATGGCAACTGGCGCCCATGGATCATGATCAGTAACGTCCCCCAAAGAGGCCATGCCACATCCTCCTCCTCATTCAGCACTAATTGAAAGAGAAAAATTGCAGTTGCGCAGAGTGTTCTTTACATCTCCCAATTCGCCATGTGCGGAATCAGCAAGGCCGACCAGTGGCAGGCCGCCCAAGCCCTCTATGTGGCCGGATCTCTGGCAGCCAACATTGCGACGGCTTTTTATACCGCCACCTTTCCCAGCCTGGTTCATAACCTGCCCAAGATTCTCGAGTCCGAGCAGCAAGTTCGAGACGGGACAAAGTCGTACGTGGTTGTTTGCACGAGTATTGCGTTTCCGCGAGGTATGCTGACTTGTACGACTTGGCAGGCCTGAAGAACATGCTGAACTGGATTCGTACGAGCGATCAAAGGTATGCAACGCCTTTAATATCGTATTGCTCTCTTCAAAGGCTCCTCCACCAACACTACCGAAAAATACTAGCTTTATAATTTCTGCAACATTACCGGCTCGGGGCTCGTCGTCGTCTTCTACGCCATCGCCGTGGGTATTTCGGCCGGCATCGGTTTCGACACCCCGACCAAGCTCATTCGATCCTACAATGTCCTGATGGGTTACTTTGGTGCTCTCACAGTCGTTGCGACTGTTCCGTTCTTTCTTGTTCAGAAGCACCGACCCGGCCAGCAGCTGCCAGAGGGTACCAGCTTCTGCACAGTCGGGTTCAAGTACGTTGTATTTAACATCACAAGTGCTTTCGTGTCTCTAATCCGCTTCAAGACAAGTATGGAGTGCCATGAAGTCGGCCAAGGAGCTTCGACAATGCATGCTCTACCTCCTCGCCTTCTTCATGCTTCAGGAAAGTAAGTCAATACAGGACATGTTTCGATATCGACGTGAAGCTGACATAGTCAGCCTTTGGAACTTATTTCAACATTACCGGCATTCTTCAGAACGAGTATGTTTCCTTCCAAAATCTCTCAAGAGTCAATTCCTCTCGTTCGTGCCTTGATCAGGGACTTATCTGTCTTCTCCCCCCATCTTAGAGTCATCAACTACTCGCCACTCAAATTAAACGCCATGAGCCTCGTCGCCGATTTGTCGGGTGGATCTGGCACAGTATTCGTCTTGCTCATGCAGAAAAAGTTCCGCTTTTCCGTCAAAGCCGGCGTCTTCTACGGTGCTTGCATGACCCTCGTGCCCTCCCTTTGGGGAGGCATCGGATACTTTACCAAGTCGGCCGGTTTTTTTCATCCCTGGACTTTCTGGGCGGCAAACGCCTGGAATTTCAATACGGCGGCCTGGGGAAGTTATCAGATCACCATGATCTCCGAGGTCGTTCCGGCGCCCAAAGCCTTTCTGTTCTTCGCCCTGTTCAACTGCGTCGGCAAGACGTCCGGGTTCATCGGCCCCTTTATCTCGTCGGCCATTATCGAACGCGCGCACGGAGAGACCAGTGCTGCGTACTGGTTTCTCTTCGCCATGGGCTCCGTGGGCTGCGTTGCGCTCTGGTTCGTGGACACGGACAAGGCCAAGCGAGACAATGCTCGGTACCTGGAGCGCGAGGCGGCCGAGTTTTACAGCGAGAGGCAGATGAGGGAACTACATCAAGAGAAGACCGGACATGCAGCGACAGCATAATTGACGTGGTTGGCAAAGGTAGTGTGGTTGGCTGGCCTCTCGTATACAGCCGCTGCGCTTTGCATTCAACATGCGAGCAACCTTGGCAACGTGGCAGTTGTGCATGGCCGGACCAGCACAACACTAGGACGTATTATGAATAATACATATACCATGACGTTCTTTAAGGTTTGTGGTGAAAGGGGAGAGGTACGTCGTAGTCTATGAATCGGTTGGTTGATGATGAATAGCTTCGCAAGGGCTAGCACTTTTGGGTACTATTATTGTTTGACAATTGTTTTAGTCTCTTCCTTTAGCAGCGAAGCGCCATCTGAGCCTGCAACTACGTGGCTGCTGTCCATGCAATGGTGTGGAGTTGGTTCCGGAGCGGCGCGATCCGGCGTCGTGACCGAGGTTGCCGGCATTGTGTCCGGAGCGAGCTGTTCCGGCCAAGGACTGGGCGCGCAAGGGCCAAAATGACGCTGGAGATGATCTGTCATTTTCTCCTGAGAGATGGGATGATAACTCGTCGTGCCCAGAAAGCGCGGAAGCCTCTGAACAACACCACTGTCGCGTCGCGAGGATTCTTTAGGGTAGGCTTGGCTTTTCTTTGGAACGTCCATTGTCGATGCTGGAGCAGACATTGTGGCCATCGTGAGAGACTCGCTGTACCTGTCGGCTGTCATTGTATTTTTTCTCTCCCGCATACCGCTGCCGGAAAGAGGCGCATAACAAAGCTGTCGATTCCACAACGATGGGGGTAAGGTTGAAAGACGAAGTCGATAAGCATTTATGCGCCAACACGCACAGCTCCAGCTCTACAACACACCAAGCCCGCCACACCACTGCACTGCACAAAAAGAAAAGCCTTGTTCATACATAGCTTGGGCTACGTTCCCTTTTGATGCGTCGATAGCCGCTTCTACCAAGAAGAAGCCTTTTGTCTGGTCTAGAGCGCCGGGTTCGCCCGGTGGGTCAGGAAACGGCTTCTGTGCCGACACGTGCCATACTCCGGTGTGATGCCCGAGGTACTTCTTAAGCCGAGCATCCGCCCGCAAAAGGCCCATACAATGGATCCCACAAGACAAGTCACTAGCCCTGTCGGCCGGCTTGGGTCGGAAGCTACCTAACTAGGCCGTGAGCAGGCAGAGAGTTATTTACTATTATCGATTTTACCTGCGAATATCCTTACCTGTACTCTGTAATACCTTGGTCAATACCTTGGCAGGTATTCCTAGTAAATCTTGCAAATTCACCTGTCCAAGTGTGACTTGGTAGGTACCTAGTTACAGGCTACGCCGTTGAACCAGACCTTCCCCACAAGTCCTAAGCCAATTGGTAGCTCGATGATTGTAACCCGCATTTGGCGCTCGCTAGTCTGACGTATTTGTCCGTGGACTTCGTCTTGACCTCTTTTTTCCCTCTCACACCCCAAACTTCCCCGCGCATCTTCTCCAGTCCAAAAAACAGTCCAAGGGCCCCCGACCGCCCCAATTGCTCTCGCCAGCGCTGCCGGTCACCTGCTATCGCGTGCGCCGACCGCAATTGTTCTGCCCTCGGCACACAAACCTCAACCATGTCGGCTCCAGCTCCCGTGGTGGCGAGATGCGTCCAGCGCGGTGCCCGCTCCCTCGGCGGCCGGCTGAGCGCTAGCGGCCGACCCATGTGCCGCAGCATCACGACGACGACGACGACGACGAAACCCTCTACGACCTTCTTTGCCACGACGAAACGGACGCCGAGAGCAGCCGCCTGCTCCTCGCTGCGCAGCACCGCCGCCGCCGCCCGACGCTTCACGACGGGACGGGCGCTGCGCCAAGAAGACGACGGCGCCTTTGACCCGAGCCGCATCGAGCGCGAGTCGGACGAGGTGGACGTGTGCATCGTCGGGGCCGGGCCCGCGGGCCTCTCCGCCGCCATCCGCCTCAAGCAGCTCGCCAACGCGGCGGGCAACGAGGATTTTCGCGTCATCGTGCTCGAAAAGGCCGGCGACGTGGGCGCGCACATCCTGTCAGGCGCCGTGATCCAGCCGACGGCGGTGGCGGAGCTGTTCCCCGACTGGCTCGACGCGGACAACCCGGCGCGGTTCGAGCACGCGACGCCGGCCGGCGCGGACAAGATGCGCCTCCTGACCAAGACGGCCGCGATCCCGCTTCCGGCGCCGCCGCAGATGAGCAACCACGGCAACTACATTGTCAGCCTGAACCAGTTCGTCAAGTGGCTCGGGGAGCGCGCCGAGGAGCTCGGCGTCGAGATCTACCCGGGCTTCGCGGCGGCCGAGGTGCTCTACGACGCCGACGGCTCCGTGCGCGGCGTCGCCACCAACGACCTCGGCCTCGGCCGCGACGGCCGCCCCAAGGACGCGTTTGAGCGCGGCATGGAGTTCCACGCAAAGGTCACCATGTTTGGCGAGGGCTGCCACGGCAGTCTCAGCAAGCAGGTCATCCGCAAGTTTGACCTGCGCTGCGACAGCCAGCACCAGACGTACGGCCTCGGCATCAAGGAGGTCTGGGAGGTGGACCCGGCCAAGTTCGAAAAGGGCCTCGTCGTGCACGCCATGGGCTACCCGCTGCCGCGCGACGTCTACGGCGGCTCCTTCATGTACCATTTCGGCGATAACATGGTGGCGCTCGGCCTCGTCGTCTCGCTCGACTACAAGAACCCGTGGCTGTCGCCGTACCAGGAGTTCCAGAAGCTCAAGCTGCACCCGCTCTTCCGCGAGGTGCTCGAGGGCGGCAAGTGCATCTCGTACGGCGCGCGCGCGCTCATCGAGGGCGGCTTCCAGTCCATCCCCAAGGTGGCGTTTCCCGGCGGCGCGCTCATCGGCGACTCGGCCGGCTTCGTCAACGTGCCCAAGGTCAAGGGCACGCACAACGCCATGCACTCGGGCATCCTGGCCGCGCAGGCCGCGTGGCGCGCGCTCGAGCGCGAGGACCCGGGCACCGTCTTCCTCTACGACTACGAGGACGCCCTGCGCAAGTCGAGCATCTGGAAGGAGCTCCGCGAGGTGCGCAACCTGCGCCCGTCCTTCCACGGCCCGCTCGGCCTGCTCGGCGGCCTCGCCTACTCGGGCCTCGACACCTTTCTCTTCAAGGGCCGCGTGCCCTGGACGTTCAAGCACAAGCTGCCCGACCACGCCGCCACAAAGACGGCCGACAAGTACAGCAAGATTGAGTACGCAAAGCCCGACGGCAAAATCACCTTTGACATCCTCACCAGCGTCTCCCGCACCGGCACCAACCACGAGGAGGACCAGCCCGTCCACCTGCAGGTCAAGGACTGGGACGCCCACACCAACGAGACGTACCCGGCGTACCAGGGCCTGGAGAACCGCTTCTGCCCGGCCGGCGTGTACGAGTATGTCGAGGACGAGAGCAAGCCGCACGGCGTGCGCTTCCAGATTAACGCGCAAAAGTAAGTCGAGCTCGCTGTTGTGGCAGGAGAATGCAAATCTAGCTAACACAAGTTCGCGCGTACAGCTGTATTCACTGCAAGACTTGCGACATCAAGGCCCCCCATCAAGATATCAACTGGCAAGTGCCTCAAGGTGGCGAGGGCCCCAAGTACTACATGACATAATAAGCAACCAAAGAAAAGTTCGCCGCCCTCGTGGAGTGTAGGAGATGAGTTTGGAAACCTATTTCACCATGTACAAGAGAAAACGACAAGGAGGCAAGGACGGCGCTGCCTTTAGTTGCATCTGGCATATTTTGTTCTTGATATTTTTCTTCTTCTCCCGGTGTTTGATACCTCATTGTACACTTGTACCAGGCAGGCACCATTGTTTCGGTTACAAGCAGGTTTAAAAAAAAGTAGTGCCAACAAAAGCACCAAATAAAAACCAGTTGAAAAGATTTAATTTTGGCAACCTTTGAAAAAACCGTGCACCTGGAAAGCAAACGGTGCAGATGATATTTGAAACAGTCGTGGCTTTTGCTGTTCCTGACGCTTCCCGTGCCTTCCGTCAAAGGGGGGATCAACAAAGGGAGAGAGGTGTTGTGGCTGTGTACAGCCGCCTCGGACGGCCCACGAGGGGTTCACAGATATTCCTGGCTGTAATCTCTGTACAAGGTGTAAGGCTACGTGGTGTGCGTGCTCGAATTGATGGGCTCGGTTACTGCTGCACGTCAAGTTTTGGATCTTTTTTGTCAGGAATTTTTATTTTCGCCGCGTGCGCCACGCGTGTGATGACGTCGTTCTGGAGTTGCCGAGAAGCAGGCACCAGAGAGACAAAATGGTCCGCGGGTTAGGAATACGAGCTCTATCTTCCTTATTCTTACCATGTTCTTACCATTTAATAATTTAGTTATTAAATACTTGGTCTTTGTAATTTTATTCATCTTTCTCATTCTTCTTATCTTTCTTATCCTTCTAATCTTCTCCTCTGTCTGGCCTTTTTTTGTGGTTACCCGCCTGGCAGGGTAGGGCAGATCGCTGTGGTGCTAACTACGTAGCAAAAAGTCAAAGTGTAAAAATGACAGGGTGGCAGGGGTTATTCAGGCTGCGCAATCTCGCGTCGGTGCGAGGACCGAGGTTACGGTTGTAAAAAATTGTTAAGGAGGTACTTCACGATTTTACTGGGGCGAGCGGGCTAAGACACCACAAGTACCCGGAACTTGCGCAAACCCCGGCGAAAAGATTTTCGCCGCCTACGAGACAGCCGGCCAGCAGCATATATTTTGCGCTACGCCCGCGGGAGAAGCCCCGAGAAAAATGCGAGACGCATTGAAAGGAGCCAAACAGGCCATTTTTCAACTCGAAATCGCACTTGAACCATGTGAGACGCGCAAATCCGCGCAGGGTAGTTGGCAACAGGCGATGCGACGACTGGCGCGTCACGTTCGCGGTGCAGGTATTGGGTACTCGGGAGTCTGACCAATCATGGGGCAGCAAAGGGCAAGATCTGGGGCGACGCTGGGTCGCGGTATCAGTGGAGGGCAATCAATGACTCACAGACGCAAACGAGGGCGGTCGCTGTCCCCTTGGCCAGCGGAAGAGGGCCAGCAAGGCAAGATTGCTGTTTCCCTTCTCTGCGGGGCGCTAAATGTAGAGTGACGAGCGCTGAAAGTCCAGAGCGTCGAACGGCGTCGCATCGCAGCAAAGAGTTGCAATGAAGAATTTGACTTGTTGCTGTCTTCTTCTGCGCGACGGCTTTTGGTTGCTTCGAAATGGACGCGGATGCGCGGAGACGGAGGCCACCTGGTTTGATGACAAGAGAAAATTCCTCTGCGTTCAGGGGCCTTGCTTGTGTCAGAGACTTGTGTTCAGTTTCTCGCCTGTGCGAGGGAGACGCTGACAAGGGTCTGCAGGGAGGGGGCAATATCAGAGTGAGGCTTGTGGGTATTGAGAATTTGCCCCCTCCCCTCCCTGTGGTCAAAAGACAAAAAAATAGGGGTGAGTGGTGGTGGCGCGAGTCGACCCGACGAGTAAGTTACGCGGCCATTTCGCGACCCATAATTTCCTTTTGGAGTCCGGCTAGTTGCGAAGTGAATGGCAGGATTGGTTGGGTGGCAGTCCGTGTTGCTGCCAGCTGGGTACGGCCCCGTGCTGTCCGTGGTGTGGTAGGCTGCCGCTGGCTCGCCACTGCTGGAGGAGTTGCCGGAGAGTTGGGCGCCTGTCGGGTGGTTGCCAGTGGTCGTCGTCGTAAACCTGCAAAACAATCCCTGCCGTCGCTGTGACAGGACGGGATGTGGTTTCCCTTTGCCGCATCGTACCGTAGCCGTTGTGAATGTCGTCGTTGTCGTCGCGGATCGTGTCGCTGCTAGGTGAGCTGCTGCTGACCGACAGAACAACTGCTGGCGGGGGTGGTTGGTAAAGTGGTCATGGGTGAGGAGAGGGCGAGAGAAGAAAAGAAAGGAAAAGGAAAAAAGTGTGAGAAAGAGTAATAATGCAGAGAGGCTGGGCAAAGTGGTCCCGGAGAGGAAAGAGGAGATAAAATCCAGATTGGTGGGCGACGCAAATCACACGCAACACACAGGGGGAAGAGGGGGTCACAGGGGGGCTTGAACCGCCCGAGCAAGGTGCAGCGGAGGCACAAAGGTTGCAGCAGGTTGATGCAGTTGGTGGCCAGCAGTGTGCAGGTAGAACGAGAGGCAGACAGGCAGCAAGCCATGAGTGAGAGTTTGGTGATAGCCAGGTGGCCAAGTCAAGATAGGCTGGCTGCTACGTGTTATGTATCCCTGTTATCAGCAAGTACCCTCTCCGGCGGGTTGTTGCTGGGGTACCTCAGGGGTCTCGTCGCGCCGGACTGGGTGGATGGTGGGAAACAGGAGAGAAATTCACCAGATTGGACGCGCATGATTGGCTCGTGTCGCCGCTAGCGCCAGGCTAAGCTAGGTCTGGCCCTCCCCACAAGTCTGCCAGAGGTTGCGCCACAGGCCCGGTGCTGTTGCCTAGGAGCCCAGACGTGGTGCCCACGTCCAGGCTGCCCACATCGCGCACACTCGCCAGAAATATAAGTAGCCAGCCCTCCCCCAGCTGCCCTGTTCCGCCATTCTAGTGCGGAAGTCTTGATCGACGGCCCTACGTATTTCCTCCTGCGTTTGGTCACCTCATAATCCCCCCCTACCTACCTCCTCACCCACCCAACGGCGGTGTGCCCACTTTTCTTGTCTGGATCGCTTCGTCTGCTTCCAACCTCAGTCCCTTCTTGCACCATCATCGCATCTCTGCAACTCGACACCTACATCGTCTCTTCAACCACTCTCCCTACCTTTTTACCCTGAAGCGACCTTGCCGGTGCCCGAGCGCAATTTTCAGCGAATTCCTAGCTCCTAGGAAAGCGGATCCGTCGCCCTCTCTCCTCCGCGCGATCAGGCCAAAGAAACTGGAACACGTTCCTTGACGCCCTCGCACGCCTCTCCTCTCTACCCGCAACCGATCCTACCGACGAAAGATAGTTACCGCGATATTCGCCGTCGTCGATTTGGGTCGTTGCACGCTTGTGTAGTTCAGATTTAAACCAAGTTGTGTGCCTTTTTTGAAAGTGATAAAGGCGGGTTTGTTGTGTTCGACTACCTCGATCACATATTCACTGCCACCTTGACGACGCTGCCGGCTTTTCAAGTCAACGCCTCGCAAGGACAAATTCATTTGCTCGAGCAGCGATCCTTGTAGGGGAGACATTCACTTGTTCATCTCCCGCGACTGGTACGCACACCTGTTCCTACCTTTGCATTTTGCCACTGTTCGCACCCCGCACCTGTTACATCTCGTCGTTTTTCTACACTTCAGATGCTAACCAGCTTCTCAGTTGCGCTCAGCTTTCTTGCTCTTAAGCACAGAGAACATCGTTTCTCGCGCACAATCATGGAGGGCATTCAAACCCACCCGTCCAACGCCGCTCAGGCCAAGGCCTTCACTGCGCCTGGCTCACTGTCTTTTCCCGGCGCTTCCAACGAGCTCACACCACCTGGCGGCAACGGTGATGCTTCGCAGCGTCCCGTCCTGCCTGGCCAGGCTGCAGCCAACGGAAACGGGGTGACTCCCGCGACACCCGCAGCAACACCCGCAGCGACTCAGGGACCTAGTGGTATTACTCCTACTCTGCAGTATGTATATCATTTGAAACGTCTTGTCCTTGGGTGACACTCACATCCTTCAAGGAACATTGTCGCCACGGTCAATCTCGATTGCCGTTTGGACCTTAAGACAATTGCTCTACATGCCAGAAATGCCGAGTATAACCCAAAGGTACTTCATACCTGGCTTCATACGCAGTAATTTTCCAAGTTCATTGCGATGCTAACACACTGGGAAGCGTTTTGCGGCTGTCATCATGCGTATCCGCGAGCCCAAGACCACAGCCCTCATCTTTGCCTCTGGCAAGATGGTTGTTACTGGTGCCAAATCCGAGGATGATTCCAAGCTTGCCTCGCGCAAATATGCTCGTATCATCCAGAAGCTCGGGTTCAACGCCAAGTTTACCGACTTCAAGATCCAGAACATTGTTGGCTCCTGCGACATCAAGTTCCCCATTCGTTTGGAAGGTCTTGCCTCGCGCCATCACAACTTTAGCTCTTACGAACCCGAGTTGTTCCCTGGTCTGATCTACCGCATGATCAAGCCCAAGATTGTCCTCCTGATTTTTGTCAGTGGCAAGATTGTCTTGACTGGTGCCAAAGTGCGCGAGGAGATCTATCAGGCCTTCGAAATGATCTACCCTGTGTTGCAAGATTTCCGCAAGGTCTAAGGATCTACGCGCGGTCGCGACTGCTCAGTTCATTTCAAGGTACTACGTTATTCACTTGTATGACTACATCCTTGGTCACGATCCCATGACTACTTTCTCCCCGCAACGGTTCTGTGTTTACGCCTGCTAGGCCACAAGCAAGCTTAACCACCCGTTTGTACCATTTTGATTTCAAAGCATTGCACTGGCGTTGGTAAAGGACAGAAAGGTGGAGGTCATTGATTCCTTAATTTCTTTTTTTCCCTTTTTTTTTTTTTGCAATGGTCCCGTCCCGATTTGAGGCGAAAAGCACAAAGACTTTTTTATCGCGCGATTATACATAGATTGCTCGTGGACCTGTTGGCCATAGTTGAACTATGGCCTCATTTCTGCTTTAATGCTTCTGAAGAGAAGAAAAAAAAATTATTGCTGAGGAGAGAGTTAGCGAGGCTTTTTTATAGCGGAGGTGGAGGACGGATGAGGACAATTCAAAGAGACGGATGAAGATGTTCTTCATTCTGCGAATTTGTTGCTAAGGACTCTTTTTGACAATTTTTTTTTGGTCCAGTCGACCCTAGCGCTCGTCGCCTTGTGATACTTGGCGATCAAGCAAAGACATCGACCGTATTTAGCTCTAGTAGAGTACTACTGATTGTCCTCGTTCCTGATCCCAGATGCCACGTTGATTTTGTTCCGCACGCCCTTTGTGAATCCACGACGCCTTCCGATATGTCAATTTCTGCATTCTGACATGTTAACTGACTGAGCTATGATTGACTCGAGGTGGGCTTGGAAAACATGGGAATATCGGGGCGCGGCTCATCGGAAGATTCGGTCTATTTCGACACGCCGGCGGGCACACCGATCGCGGCGGCTTGGTGTTGCCAGTCCCCCACTTCCGATTGATCGGGAGACGACGCACACGGACTGTCCACCCCCTTTGCCAAACCTGCAACTATAAATCATTACCGTCTTCTGTTTGGAGAGCGAGGTAGCAGAAACAACAGAGGCATTGTTATCATCTCAAGTACCCTTGTCGCTGGCATCCTCTTGTTCGGCCATGGCGGGGTTCCAAGTTCCCAGCTCCGTGCTTATTGTCGGCTCCGGCGTCTTCGGCCTCAGCACCGCCTGGACGCTGACGCAGCGGCCCGAGTACGCCGCCACGAAGATCACCGTCGTCGACGACGCCAGCGCCTGCGGGGGCGAGTTCCCGCCGCTCGACGCGGCGAGCGTGGACTCGTCGCGCATCATCCGCGCCGACTACGCCGACCCGGACTATGCCGCGCTGGCAGCCGTCGCACAGGCGGCGTGGCGCAGACAGGGCGACGACGACCTCGGCGGCCAGGGCCGCTACTCGGAGTCGGGGCTGCTGCTGGCAGCGGACCACCCAGCCACCGCGACCAAGGCGGGCAAGCTGACGGGCATGGACTATACAAAGGGGAGCTGGCGCAACGTCGCGCGCATCGCGCGCGAGGCCGGGCACCCGCCAGACAGAGTGCGCACGCTGGAGAGTGCGGAGGCGTTGCGGGAGCACCTTGGCACGCCGGGGCGCCCGGGCGACTGGGGATATCTCAACACCCTCTCCGGATGGGCAGACGCAGGCGAGGGCATGCGTTGGCAGTACAGGCGCGTCAAGGCGACGGGGCGCGTCGACTTTGTCGATGCGCGCGTCACGGAACTTGTTACAGAGGGAAAGCGCGTGGTCGGCACGAAGCTGGCCTCGGGCGATATCCTCCGTGCCGACCTCGTCTTTGTGGCGGCCGGCGCGTGGACCGGCGCTCTGATTGACCTCCGCGGCCGCGTCGAGGCCACCGGCCACGTCCTCGGCTACATCGACATCACCCAGGCGGAGCTCGACACGCTCTCCCGGCAGCCGGTGGTGCTGAACCTCACGTCCGGGCTCTTCGTCATCCCGCCGCGCGATAGAGTGCTCAAGGTAGCCCGCCACAGCTTCGGCTACCTCAACCCCGTCACGGTGCCGAGCGCGCTGCCGCTCTCCCCCGCGGCGCCGCGCATCCCTATTGTCGCGTCCCTGCCCGTGACGGCGCGCAGCGGAGGGCCCGGGCGGCTGCCCGCCGAGGCGGACGCGGACCTGCGGCGGGCCTTTGGCGACCTCGTGCCGCTGCGGGGACTCGAGGGCCGGCCGTGGCGGGAGACGCGGCTCTGCTGGTACGCGGACACGCGCGACGGCAACTGGCTGGTCGACTACCACCCGGGCTGGGAGGGCCTATTCGTGGCCACGGGTGACAGCGGCCACGGCTACAAGTTCCTCCCCGTGCTGGGCGACAAGGTGGTTGACTGCATCGAGGGACGCGGCGGCGCGCTGGGTAGCAAGTGGACGTGGAAGCAGGTGCCCGAGGGCGACAGGGTGGGACGCGAGACGAACGGCCGGTTTCAGGGGCTGATTACGGAGGATGGTAGTCGGGGTGGTTCTCCGGGTATGATTCTCGAGGAGGAGCTGGGAAAGAAGGAGGTGGCAAAGCTATGAGATTGGAATCGGCTTGCTTTGTTGTCTGGCTCTGCATTGCGTCTTGTGTCTTTCGTCGGCGATTCGCATTAGTTCACGCGTCATACGAGATTTGTGCTAGTTGAACGATGAACAATGAATGGAAATAAATTAGTAACCGCTATTACAATTTTCATGAGTGAGGTAGATGGATGTATGGAGTTGTAATGGACGTTTAACAAAAAGCCTTGTAGTCGCGAGGTGGTGGGGCCAAGCTGTTCCAGATTGCACAAGTGGCGACCTTGCGAATCTCTCAACATTGCGCATCAATCTGCCACGACAAGAGCACCGCATCCTACTCGCAAACGAGATGAACAATACGTAGCCGATTATCGAAAAATAGACGATACCGATACGATTTTGCGCTGCGCGACGCGTATCCCTCTTGGCCTGCAATGTCAGGCAAGGGCTTCGCAGCCAACAGTGGTGGCGGTTTCTCCAACGCCGATGGCAAGTCGCAGAATGCGACCCGGCAATCCATCTTTGAGAAGCAAAAAGCAGAGGCAGCAGCGAAGCGTCAGCGTGAGGCGGCTGAGACAAAAGCAGTTTACGAAGATTTCGTCAAGAGCTTCGACCATGACGACGACGACGACGACGACGGCTACGACAACCACAGCGGCAGCCACCGCATCCGACGAGATGGCGGCTTCTCCAATAGCAGCCGTGGCGGTCCTCCTCGCCCAGGCTTCAGCGGCGGAGGCTCGCGGAGGCATTTTGGTGCCTCCTCAGCCCTCAAGAGCGGCCCGGGTAGCCTAGGCCCTCCGCCGAGCGCCTTTGGCAAGAAGCGCCCCTTTCAAGACTTCAACAAGAGCTCATCCCTACAACGCGATCGAAGCGGTATGGGCTTCGACGACAATCGAAGCGGGCCGCCCGCGCCGCAGCAACAGCAGGCCAGTGCCTCCCTGAGCAAGGCGTTTGCGACGAGCGACGACGAGGACATGGCGGAGGCGCAGGACAGGGAAGAGGAAAAGGCCGTGGCGCGGCCGACGCTGCGGCTGTCGGGCGTGCCGCCGGGGACGTCGCCGGCCGCGATCAAGGCGATGCTGCCCTCGAACCTGGTCGTGGACAATGTCAAGCTGCTGCCGCCCCCACCGGGCACCGGGACGGAGCGCAAGAGCCTGGTGGTGATTGTGACAATGTCGCCGGAGACGCCTGCGACGGACATGGACGCGGCCGTTAGCGCGCTACAAAACAGGTACATGGGCTACGGCTACTACCTGGCGCTGCACAGGCACCTGTCCTCGGCGGTGGTGAGCTCGGCCGCGTTGCCGAGCCTGAGCGCGTCTGGCGCCTCGCATCCGTTTGGCGCGAAGCCCGTGGAGCAGGCTGAGGTCGGCGGCAAGCACGCGCAGCAGCAGCACGGCTTCCACCGCGGGTTCGCGCCGCCGACATCCTACGGGCCGAGCTACGTGGCGGTGAACCGCGCGACCCTCCTTCACGTGCCCGTCAAGCCGCCGCGCGACGTGCGCACGATTCAGCTCATCAACATGGTCATCGAGGGCGTTCTCGAACACGGCCCCGAGTTTGAGGCGCTGCTCATGTCGCGGCCCGAGGTCCAGCGCGAGGAGAAGTGGGCGTGGCTCTGGGACGCGCGCAGCGAGGGGGGCGTCTGGTTGCGCTGGCGGCTCTGGGAGGTGGTGACGGGTGCGCAGCCCAAGGGCCAACGGGGCAAGTACGTGCCGCTGTTTGACGGGGCGCACGCGTGGAAGTCGCCGGAGAAGCCGCTGCCGTTTGAGTACACGACCAAGCTGGACGAGTTTGTGTCGGACTCGGAGTACAACTCGTCCGACGACGAAGACGCGGACGACGAGGCCAACAACAATCGCGACGCCGAGGAAGGCGGGCGGTCGTTTTTAAATCCGCTGGAAAAGGCCAAGCTGACGCATCTCCTGGCGCGGCTACCGACTACGTTGGGGAGGCTACGAAAGGGAGACATTGCGCGCATCACCGCCTTTGCGATTACGCACGCCAGCCGCGGCGTGGACGAGGTGGTGGACATGATGATTACCAACATTGAGCGGCCGTTTTCGCTCGCGGCCGCGAATCCCGAGTGCGACGGCGACCGGGCGCGGGAAAAGGCGGCGGCCTCGACGGCCAACGACGAGGGGCCGCCGGACCTGAGCGGCGCGAGCCTGATTGGGTTGTACGTGGTCAACGACGTGCTGTCGTCGTCGTCGACGAGCGGGGTGCGGCACGCGTGGCGGTTCCGGCAGCTGATGGAGGCGGCGCTGCGGGCGCGCGGCACGCTGGCGTGGCTCGGGCGCATGGCGGAGCGGCAGGGCTGGGGCCGGCTGCGCGCGGACAAGTGGAAGCGCAGCGTCGGGCTGGTGCTGCACCTGTGGGAGGGGTGGTGCGCGTTTCCGGCGGCGAGCCAGGCGCTGTTTGCGCAGAGCTTTGAGAACCCGCCGTCGCTGCGGCCGGAGGTGACGGACAAGACGCAGGAGGAAGGCGGCGGCGAGGTCAAGGATGCTCGGTGGAAGCTGGTCGAGGCGAGGGAGGAGGAGCAGCAGGAGGAGGAGGATGATGTGGAGGGGGAGCCGATCGAGGAGGATGATGTGGAGGGAGAACCGATTGAGGAAGACGATGTGGAGGGAGAGCCGATTGAAGAAGATGATATTGTCGGTTCGCCAGTTGATGAGGGCGATGTCGCGGGCGAGCCCATGGACGAGGACGAGGGGGCGCCGAGGACGGCTCAGGCTAGTAGTGGTGCGCCGGCGGAGTCGTCAAGTTCGGGAACGGGGCTCGGGCAGCCACGGAGACGGATGCGGGCGGCGGACATGTTTGCCGACAGTGGCGACGACTCTGACGAATGAAGCGGATACATCTTGTACAGTCTTTAGCTTGGCGTTGATAGAATTGAAACGGACATTTTCTTGTGTGCAATCCGAAAGCGGTTCTTTGGGTGTGAAACTCTAAGCTACGATGCTGCACGGAGGACGAAACAATGGGCTCATGTTGGTTGGCAGGATTGAACGTTAGTAGATTAGTTAATTATAAGTCATGAATCCGGTTCAATCAAAGCATGCAGGCATGTGACTGGCTGACTCGGTCAGTGTCCCGAATCCTTGGCAGCATCACTCGAACGACAATGGGCTGCAGCCGTGGACCCTGCGGTTCCCGCGGTCAACTGGGCTGGGCTACAATTTCAAGGACGCCGACGCATGACGCCTTTTTTGGGTGAATGCCCGTTTGAGCAGGTCCAAGAGGGAGCTGAGGGAGGCTAGACAAGCAATCCCGGTGAAGGAGAGAGAGGCGCGGTCGGTATTATTGGGCGCGTGGTTGTGGTGGTTGTGGTGATTGTGGTTGTGGTGGTGTGCGTCGGAGCCAATAGAAACTTGCTCATCTGGGTCCAACCGGCGTGCCGATTTGTTGGCCGGTGGGCTTTGTGCTTGTCCCGGCCGGGGAGAGGAACGCGCAAATCTGCATCGTGGGAGAAGGACGGAGATGTGCGGATCAACAAGGTGACGGAAAATGGGCTGATGGAACTTGTCGCACATGGACAATGAGGGTGGTGGTTGTGACTTGGGAGCGTGAAGATGTCTCGGGTTTGGCGCGCGAGAGGGCGCTTCGTGTGTCGACAAGTTTGGAGGGTAAGCAACCCCAGTCTGGTTTGCGCCAGCTCGCAGGGGCATCACTGATATGGGGCGAACGCTATTATTGTTAGCCCTGTTTTTTTCCTTTTTTTTCTGTTTTTTTTTTGTTTTTCGCAAATGCAATACATCAGATGTAGGGCAAATGACACCTTGGGGATTGGTGGTGATTGTCCAGGGTCCCATCCACGTATGTGCCCGGCGTGTGCCAAGAGGCGCGGGGAAACTGCCAGTAATAATACTGAAAAAAAAAGGAATCAAATAAAAGAACCAAACAAGGGAGATGGCCGCATATTTTTTTCTCCAGCCTCGTGGCTTTCTCTTGGGGCTGTTTCAGCGTATTCCCATGAAACATGGTGAACCGGTTGTCGATGGCCGTGTCGATGCGATACATATCAAATGCACCGTCCGTGCGTTCAACGACGTGCGCCTGCCCACGGCCCATGACGTTGTTCGGCCAAAGGACTTTCTGGAAATAGAGGCAAATCTCTGATACGTAACCTGTGTCCGGGTAAAAACCCTGCTTCTCGCGTAGTCGATACTGGTAGACGGCTAGATGCAACCTTGAACCTGCAAACGGGCTCGCTTTGACCCTGCGCATGCACAACAGACCGAGCCTCCAGTGGGCTTTGGCGGGTTTGTCGAATTCCTTCAGCGGGTTTAGTGGACAAAGGTCCCCTCCAAAGCCCCCCCGCCCACCCTCGCAGCACGTGGGGCAGCGCTATCCTGGTGCCCTGCCAGCGAGCGGCCCCCCCAAGTTGGTGCGAGCCGCGGGTGCCCGCTCGTCCCTGTCATTGTGGTACTTTGGTAGCCTCTGCTCTAGTTACCATCGCAGAACCTCCAAACGCTTCTTCCTCCTCTACAAATTACTTCTTTACACAACGTCTCTCTCCCAAACACCCCAGCGCCTGTCACACGCCGAACTTATCAATCTGGGCACAAAGGACACCCCCCTACCCGTGCATTCGTCAGCGTTACACATACTCTTCAGACCACTTGGCGGCCAAACCCAAGTAGTCCGCCCCTCCACATCCCAACGGCGGCACCATCATCGAAAGAAAAAAAAAACCCTGACCTCAACGATCGGGCACAATCACCCTGTACCGGCTGGTGCCAGCTCTCAACTCGCCTCAACCGAGATCATCGCTCTCGGATGAGTTGCTTGTCGGACGGGCAAACGACGTACACCCCGACCGGCAGTCACACCGCCGACGGTATCGCCCTCTTAATTTGAGCTGCCAGCACCAGGACCCCCGCCAGACCACAAAGCACGCTCAGCGCCGTCGTCCTTGACGCGGCCGCACTCTCGTCGCTCGCCATGCCGCTCATTAACGGGCAAAAGATGGCCTGGTACGTTCAACTTCCGAGATGTCGGCCGTCATTCTGCGCCGGCTTATCTCGACTTCGGAGGACCCTCCGACAAGCTGACGTCTCTCAGTGAGCCCTGCATTCGCGGCCATCGTTCAACAAAGTGCAACCATGCCAATGACAGGCTCATGGTTCCTGTCCGAAAACCAGGTCGTCCGCTCAGCTCATGCCCTCACCCCGCCTCGCGCCCGTGTTCTTGTGCCGCCGTCACTGCCGCCATCCCCAAGAAGCAGACCTGTCGCTGCGGGCCCTCGTCCTCCTCCCAGCCTGCCCCGCCGGATGCGATCAAGAAAGAGCCCGAGTCGAATGGCTCGTCGTTACCGACAAGTCCCACGAGATCTACACCGGGCGCGCCGTTCAGAGTGCAGAAGTCGTCGAAAGCCGCGGCTCGCAAACAATCTGTCGGTGTCGCCGGGCTCGAGAGGATGGACGCTAACCAGCTCAACATTATACAAGGATTTGACCCTACTCAGCCTGCAGCCATAAACGGGACAAATGGAATAAATGGACACGCCCCCATGAATGGAATGGGGCCATATGCTGCTATGGGTATGCCCATTACCGCGTCGCCCTTCACCATACCCGGCATGTACCCGATGATGCAGCAACCTATGGTGCAGCCTTTCGCACCCGAAGTAAACGGTTCTAGAAATGGAAATAGCGAATCATCCAACGGCAATGCGGAACCTGCCCCAGGAGGCTGCTGCAGCGGCAAGCAGGTGGCACAAGCAACCGCTGTCGAAAGCAAGGCCGCCGGAACCGACGGTAAACCCGAAGCCTCAGGAAGCTGCTGCTCGTCAAAAGACAACGGTACCAGCACCCCAACACAGCCGCCTACCGACAACGCCAATGGCCAGTTAAACGGAAACGCGCTGCCTATCTTTCAGTCGCCTATGGGCATGGCCAACGGCATGTACCCATTCTTTGCCACGCCAAACATCTTTACATATCCTCCCCAATACGGCTCCTACATGCAGCCCCTCCAACCAAAGCAATGGCGGCAGGCCATGAGCAACATGAACATGGCTCCTCAAGTACAGCAAGCGTGCATGTTTGGCGGTCAACCGGCCGTATCCTATCAGCAACACGGAACGACAGACCCCTCAACGTGGACCTCTCACCAGTGCAGCTGCGGCGACACTTGCCAGTGCATCGGATGCGCTGCCCATCCGTACAATGATGCTACGCAGAGCTATGTCCGCTCGGCCTGGAACGCGATGATGCAGGACGCTCAACCGGTGCAGAACGGACACGCGCACACCAACGGCACCCATTCGCCGGCGAATGGCACGCACGGCGTCACCAACGGACAGTTACCGCACACCAACGGCATGACGGTGACGACGCCCACGGGCAAAAACGAAGGCGCTGTGTCGCCCACGGCGCCGCAAACGCCATCGGATGCCACGTCTGGTCTGGCAGAGGAGCAGGCCCTCTCGGCCAATGACTTCTTCTTCGTCAGCTACCCTTTTACCGACGGATGCGACGGCGAAATGTCAAGCTGCCAATGTGGCGACGATTGTCAGTGCATTGGCTGCGCGATCCACAACAATCCGAGCCCCAAGATGGGACACTAAGCGAAGTCGGTCTGCATGTGGAATGATTATATATAAGAGTTTGCTATTTACTCGCCGATACCCCCTCCCCCCCCGCCAAGCTGGCCATTTGTCATAGACACTGCATTGCTCATGAGCGCATTTAAAATGTATATATACACGCCAAACGAAGCATCTAGCGTCAAGGACAAAAGAAATACGATTCCGCTAAAGCTTGGAAACGTCTACAATTTCCCTCACCGTGCCCCTCGCTATACTCACGTGAACCAAATCATCCCATCGTCCGTGCCCGAACGCGATGCCCAGCGGCATACGACGCAACTATGGCCTCAACGGCCAGAATGACCTGGCCGCCCCAGGCTTCGGTCTCGCTGAAGTGCAGGGTGAAATGGGACTGCGCTGCGACGTGGTGGAAGACGCCTATGCTGCCAAACGTGCGGTTATGACAAAGTCCTCGGGAGCAGGTCCGCCACGACGGCGTCGTACTTGACGTCTGGGCACGCTTCGCCCCTTTTTTGTTATTTTTTGGGCAGGATGTGCTCAATACGGTAAGGAGAGTGAACCAGGGAACCATGGAAATCGGCTGTTGCATTTATGTGAGGAAAGGGTCACGGCGTTGTTGGGCCCAGATGTCTGCGCCTCCGCAGGGTTTGATGTGAACAAGGCTCGGCATGGTGACTAACAGATGGTAATTTGGATAATGCTTCAACATTCAATCAAATGTCTGCATAATGATTCTCGGGAACTGGCTGAAACGAAAAATGAGTGTAGTTGACGGAGATGCGAATACGAGTTGACGGAAGCCAACAATGCGCCTAGCTGGCTCGGTGATCGCATAGAGTCACGGAAAGTGGAGCCAATCTTTGTAAGGTAGGAACAAGCCAGTATAGATGTGACTTATAATTGGTTAACAGAGCCTTAATAAAGTAGAAAGGCACACGTTATACGTGAGATGTGTGCGCCTAACTAGCTCTCCATCACTGACCAAGGGCTGCTGCGGGTGATGAATTAGGGAACCATCAACTATGATCCGCATACCGGAATCAGAGGGTCTATTTAATAATTCCACTCTATATAAAAATAGCAAATGCTCGACTTGTCGCGGATTCGCTGCTGTGGGAAGCCTCCCAGTGTTGGTAGTGGGGCGGAACTCGTTTTCAGCTAAAACGCTGGCTCTTGCAACGCCATCTCACTAAACATCATCATCTACAACACACTAACTACCGCCGGCATCAATAAAGCTGTTTGAATTTCAATCGTGATGCAATCAGCGCAACTTTTACAGTAATTCAACACACAACAACCTAATGTCTGGGATCTACAAAGAGCGCTCCCGCGCCACCCGTCAGACGGACGACTCGCGTCGCCACCGCGACAGACGGTCTCGCTCACCAGACCGCAGGCCGAGGCGGTCGGAAGACGCTGAGAATGAGAGGAAAAGTACGAGAAGACACAATCCTGACGAGGACTCGTCATCGCGGCGGCCACGCTCTCCATATAGAGGCCACGAGCCGCGTCGACGCCGAGAACGCGACGCGCCAGCGGCGGCGCCCGCGACGCTGCCGTTTGAGGCGCGGCCGCTGACCAAGGGCGATCTTTACAAGTTTGAGCCGCTGCTGGGTCATTACCTGGACCTGCAGAAGCAGAAATGCATGGACGACATGGATGACCGGGAAGTCAAAGGCCGCTGGAAGAGCTTCATGGGGAAATGGAACAGGGGCGAGCTGGCCGAGGGCTGGTACGACCCGGAAATGTTTCAGCGAATCCTGGAATCCCTACCAGCGGACGAGCCGGAGATCGCAGGCTATGCGGAGCCCGAGAGGCGAGAACGGAGGCACTCGCCAGCGGAGGAGCAGCCGCACGGCGAGGCCACTCCTGCCGACTCGGACGACTCAGACTACGGGCCGGCCTTGCCCTCCTCCTCCCGCGGAAGCAGACGCATAGGCGCCGGCATACCGTCCAGGGACGACCTAGCTCTGCGCGACGAGCTGCGCGCCTCGGACCGCGACGCCGCCCGCGCGGACCTGCGCGCGGAGCGCCAGGCGGACCGGCAGCAGCAAAAGGCGCGGCTCGAGGAGCTGGTCCCGCGCGCCGAGCCGGGCACGCGGGAGCGGCGCCTGGAAAAGAAGCGCGAGACCAACGACAAGATGCGGTCGTTCCGCGAGGGCGGCAGCCCCGGGCCGATGGCGGCGGCGCACGACGGCGAGCTCATGGGCGGGGGCGACTCGCTGGGCGAGCTCCGGCAGCGCAAGGCCGAGGAGCAGCGGCGCAAGTCGGAGCGCGAGGTCCGGCGCGAGGAGCTGCAGCGCGCCAAGCAGCTCGAGATGGAGGAGAGGCGGCGTAAGTGGCAGGAGAGGGAGGAGGGCACCATGAGCATGCTGCATGAGCTGGCGAGGCAGCGCTTCGGGCCCGGGGCGAGCTGAGGGTTATCGTGAACAAAGAGCTTTTTTTTTTCGGAATGGACGGCGGAAATTACTTGGCGTCAAGTCATATGTACAGGAGCTCATGGGCAGTAATACATTGTAAGTAAATGGCGAACGTGTTTTGACTTTTGTTCTGTCGAAGCAACCTCGTGAACGAAGGCTACCTTTTAGAGGCAAATTGCCGGCACCCCAATATAGCAGCCGCGTCTTGGAATCGTCACTCCTCGAGGCCGTCTCAGCTCTACCCGACGGGTATCTATTGTATTTGGGACCTTGTCGACTTTCTCTTACATATCCGTACATCAGCTGGCGTTGAATGGCGTTGGCTCGCGTGCTGGACTACTGCATGCAACCACCAAGGCCCCACACTACCGCCACTAAGCATCAAGAACCTGAATTTGGTGCGCCAAAAAAAAATTCTGACGATTTTCCCACGTTGTATATATTACTCTGCAGCAGGGCTGAAGCGAGGTCAGAAGCAATCTATCGTGGTCTTTGGACTCTTCTATATTACCCGAGGGCTCGATCGGCACGCTACGTCCGTATATACGCACACCACCAAGCCAACCCCAGGAAACAGACTCTTCACTCGGTGCTTCTGCGACTGTTCAGCGTGTCGTGATTTGCGGATCGTTTCGGTATCCACCAAGCTATACGAACAAAGTCCAGACTAGCCTGGTTGCATTCGAAGCGTTCTGTCTTCGCTTGAACGGTGGCTTGCACAGGGAACCCAGCTCTCGGCTGTGACATCACACGTCACACTCTACGCTGCTCGCAGGCTGATATCGGGAGTTGCTGTCATCGCGCCACGTGAGTCTTTCTGACCGAGACCTTGAGGGGACCGGGATATTGGAATCAAAAGGATTGAGACAACGAGGAAGCTACAGGCAGAAGAAGAGACACTACGGCACAAGATGGACGAGAGCGAGGATCACTACGACTTGGGGGACCTCATGGCGATACCCGACGACTACTACCCGCCTCCGGTTCCGCCTACGCAGGAGCTGTACAGGATGAAGAACGGCAAGGACATTACGCTGCACCTGGTCGGCGCGAGCCATACCGAGGCGCACCTGCTGTGGAACGGAGCCAAGCTCGTCTCGGACTACCTGGAGGCGCAGCCGGAGCGCGTCCGCGGGCGGACGGTGCTGGAGCTCGGGGCGGCGGCGGGGCTCCCGTCGCTGGTGGCGGCGCTGCTGGGCGCGACCAAGGTGGTCATGACGGATTTTTCGGACCCCGCGCTCATCGCCAACATGCAGAAGAACATTGATGCGTGCGACGAGACGACGGCGCCGCGGGGCCGCATCGCGGCCGCGGTGGACGCGGCGCCCTTTATCTGGGGCGAGGACGTGGAGCCGCTGCTGGCGCTGCTGCCCGGCGCGCCGGAGGAGCAGCGGCTCTTCGACGTGCTGATCCTGGCGGACCTGGTGTTCCGGCACAAGCAGCACGGCAACATGGTCAAGACGATCAAGGAGACGATGGCCAAGGACGGCGTCGCGTACGTCTTCTTCACGTCGTACCGCCCGTGGAAGCGCGACCTGGACATGGCGTTTTTTGACGTGGCGAGGGAGGCTGGCCTCGCGGTGACGCGCGTCGAGGAGACGATGCTCGAGAAACCCATGTTTGACAACGACCCGGGCGATGTGGACATTCAGAAGACTGTGAATGGGTTCGAGCTGCGGTGGGCGTGATGCGGGGGAGGGGGGCTTGGACAAAGCCTCTTCTCTTTTTTTTCGGACCAACGGATAAAAAAGCAACATGAGCTGACACGTATCTGGGGTGTTGGGCTGGGCTTGTGAGGACGGGTAGACTAGGCTCATGACATACGTTACATCATTGCTAGGATATCGTTCGGGATTGGTGAATAGAAAGACTTTGATGACACAATCCTGGGATATCCGATAACCGGCAAATTCAATGCGAGACAATTACCCGGATCGACGGCAGGCATAAGTCGGAGTAGATAGGGGAGGAAACCAGTGCGCGGGGTCCGGAGGCGGGCCCGTCAACCTCGCGGCAGGCCGGCGGCGGCGGGGAGCGGGCGTAACGTGTCATCGGCCGCGGGGTTATTTAGATTATTAGTCTGGAGGCGGATTGCCTGATTAGTGCGATGGGGATGCGTGAGTGGCCTGAGTTTTGGTGATGGCGGCGTTGACTAGACCTGTTTTGGGGGAAGGGTTCTTAGGTGTGCAAGCTGGTTCCGTGAATTGGTCGGCTCACTATTTGCTTGGCTTAAGCGCGTATTTGATGCAGTCGCGGTTACCCGGTGAGGCAGAGTGGAATTGGTACAGCTCTGAAATGAGAAATGAGGCAGATAACTGTCATTACAGAGGGCAGTTCTCTGGTCTCGTGCCCTGTACCCTTTTCCATCAGGCCCACTGCGCCGTCTGATAATGACACCAAGACGGGCTATTACGTACTCGGTTGTAGCATTGCTACGTGAGAAGCTGGAACCGGCTACACTTGCTCTTTGTTGGGACCTTTGGCTTACCGGCCATCTGACATCCGTCGTAATATTAAGGATTTTTTTCCCCCTTGCTCAATACTGAGACACTGTTAATAGCCGGCGAAAACTACACCGAGGCGCAGGTACCAGCCACGGCGTAGACGCCACTGCTACAGCGCATGACAGAGGCCCGCTGAGGCTTCCCCAAACGTTGCAGCAACCCCGCTATTCGGTTCCCCGATAGCAGCCGCTAATAACACTTAGGGTCCTCGATAGCAGACGTTGCTAGTTTCCCCGCATCAACCCAGAATTTATATCCAACATCACGCTCTTCTCCAGTCTTGGCTCTTGTTCCTCCTCTCCTTTTGTTCTTGTATTAATAACCTTCCTTTTCCCTCTCCTTCTTCTTCTACTTCTGTACACAATTACTATACAGTACTCACAAACTAATTCAACCCCCAATAATCTCGAATAAACCCCAACACCCACCATGCCCGCCCAAAAGACTTCCTCCTACCTCGCCGACCTCGAGCGCGACGGCTTCGTCGTCGTCAAGTCCATCGTATCCCCCGAGAAGCTGCAACGTCTTCGCGCCGCGGCGACCAAGGTCGAGGCGCTCGCCCGCCGCGGCGAGTGGCCGCACATCCGGACCGTCGGCAAGCAGTTCCCGCCGTGGCAGTGGGAGCCGGAAAAGGGCATCTGGGGCGTGCAGCACCTGATGAACCCGGGCCTACCCGGCCACGACATCTTCACCGAGCTGTACTTTTCCGACGAGGTGCTGGACATTGTCAAGGCGCTGCTGCAGTGCGACGACGACGAGCTCGTCATGGAGCTCTTCAACATGCTCGTGCGCCCCGACGGCGACTTTGAGCTGCGCTGGCACCGCGACGACATTTCCGCCGAGGCCTCGCCCGCAGAGGAGATGGAGCGCCTCGCCCGCCCCGGCTTCCACGCCCAGTACAACTTTGCCCTCTGGGAGGACGAGTCGCTCGTGCTCGTGCCCGGCTCGCACGCCCGCGCCCGCACCGACGCCGAGCGCGCCGCGGGGCCCTTTGAGCCCGCCCTGCCCGACCAGCTCGTCGTCAGGCTCGAGGCTGGCGACATTGCCTTTTACAACAATAACATCCTCCACCGCGGCGTGTACGATGCGAAAAAGGACCGCGTCACCCTGCACGGCTCCGTCGGACACGTCGGCGGCAACGCCCTCCGCGCCCGCAACGTCCTCCAGCACGGCATCGGCAAATGGGTCGACAAGGTCGACTTTTCACAGCTCAGCCCCCAGGAGCGCAAGCGCGCCGAGGCTATGCGTGCACGCCTCGTCAAGATGGGCTCTGATGCTGGCGATGTCGGCTACTCGCTGCAGGGTTAAACGAGTGCGTACATTGGAGAAGACGAAACACAGACTGAAAAAAAAAGAAAGACTTCTCACGAGAGGCTCGGTGACTTGGTCAAGTATCTCGGCATCTAACAGTCACGTCATTCTGCTTGTGTGAAATTTTGTATAATGAGGAGAGGATTATTGGAGACGATTCCACGGCTACATAGGTCAAAGTACGTACACTCAGGACATCAATAGTACATGATCACATTTTGTTACATTCTTTTCACATTGGTATATTATTTTTCTTGTTGGTATCTTATATTACCGTTGGTATATTATATTTCAAGTTGGTATGTTATAGTTCACGTTGGTACATCTAGCTCACTTTGGTACATTCGATTTCACGTTACCATGTGCTCCGTTTGCGAATCGCCACCTCATTCCAAGCAATCTGTCAACATGAGCTGTACTGACCCTACACCTTCGCCACCATCCTCTGTTGCTGCCTCGCGGCTCGCGCTGCCCTCCGCTCCGCCGCCATGCTCAAGACAACAAGGACGCACGCCACCACGGGCCCAATCTGCTCAAACAAGGCCTGCAGCACCGGGAACGCTCCCAGCGTCGTGCGGTAGCCCGGCAGCCAGTCCGACGGCATGCGCACATATTCGCTGAGCGTGTTGGTGTCGGGAAAGTAGCCGAGCCAGTCCTCCCAGAGGTCCGGGTTCGTGATGATGCGCCAGTTGGGCAGAATCCATCGCGCCGAGACGATGACGCGGAACAAGGCCGACAGCAGCAGACCGCCGACGGCGATGGCGAGGAAGCTCTGAGAAGAAGAGTTAGCTGCTAGAAACATCCTAGGGAGCTGCGCGAACAACGAGTCGAAAGTACTTACCCTACGTCTTGGTAGCTCCGCCTTGCCTTGCCGGCGCCACGTCACGGCGTGCACGCCGGCGAGGGCGAGCACCACAAGCAGCGCGATGACGTCGGCCGCGAGCCCCAGCTTGATTTGGGCATCCCTTTTCCGAAAGATGCCCGACTCGGCCGGCAGGTACAGCAGCCACGCTCTGTTCCGCGCCGTGTTCAGCGACCAGGTCCCCGGTTCGTGCTCCCGGGTCGGCTGGTCGGTGAAGCTGCGCACCATGCCGGGCGTCCACAGCAGCGCCCAGTCGCGGTCGCCGAGGATCCATCCAATGGGGGGAGTCTCCCAATCCTTGATGGCCGCGTCGGACACGACAAAGTCGAGCGCGGCGTACGCCAGGTTCAGCACGCCGAGCAGCAGCACGCCGGCCCAGGCGGCGGCGGCGCTCAGGCGGCCGGGCCGCATGGCGCGCAG